AATTAATGTATCAAGCAGGGGTTGATAGCAGAGTCGTTTAGTTGTGTAGTGAAAAAAGATAAGAAGAAAAGTTGGCTCGATTCATCAAGATCCGCGAATCATAAAAGACTCATAATCCTCAAGCGCCGTGCTTTGCATCGATTCTGGGATGGGGTCAAACTTTTACAAGGTCTTCCGTCTTTTATGAAGATCCTTAAGTTAATTCATACTCATTGTCATGGTAATTACTGAATTTTTAACTTTTTTTTTTTTTAAGTACTTACCGTTAATCTTTATTTATTATTTTTTTTCAAAGAATACAGAATAACATTTCTTCTTGAACAGCCATAACTAAAAAGAAATCTATCTCATGACTTAATTTTTAGGAAGTTTTCTCAATGATCAATGTGATCTAATTTTTAAAATCGACGTTCTAATTAGCAAATTGTCTAACTCCATTTTAGAGAATCTTCTATTTGTACGAAAAAAACAATAAGTTCAAAATTTATTATCACTTTAAAAAAGCATTTAATATCATTATTATCTAGTAGAGATATAATATTTAGGTTTGAATTATTCAAATAATTTATAATTCGACTATGGCTACATCAAAATGTTAAAAAATCACCCTCTAAAAAATAAGGAGTTAGACAAATTGCTAATTAGACCGTCGAAATGATGTTTAAGGTTCAAAATTTTAGCTTATCAGTTTACCTATTAAATAATACTAGTTGAAATTTTATACTTTTGACAGTGGCATCGTAAAATTTCCTTAATCAACATTGATACCGAAAAGCGAGATTGTATAAAAAAGTGTCAGATTAAAACAATACAAAAAGTCTAAAAAGTATAAAAATCTCTTTATACAAAAAAGTAGCATCTCTGAAAGAGTTACCCAAAGCTCACTTAAGCCATCGACGTCGTAAGAAAATGACGAATGCTAATTAGCATATGAAAAGCCCCGAAAGTCTTGGACTCTACATAACACAACTGGGCTCGGAAAAGATATTCCGTAGAAAAGGCTGTTAGCATCCACTTGCTCCTCATCCGATACCCAGCGAGTAGAGGAGGGAGTAGTTCGAACCACTCTTTCCTTCTCTGCTTCTGGGCAGCTCCAAGCATTGGCAAGACGATCACGTTTTTGAATATTAAGGACGGGATTACTCGAGCTTAACGCGGTGAATTTAGTCGTTTAAAAATCAGCATTGAGATGAAAAAATAACGGTCCTTTAATTTCGTTATTCTCCACTATACCCGTTCGTGTTCTTTTATTTCCACTCGCGAAAAAAAACAAAAACTAACCAACATAATAGTGTTCATGTGTGTGCTGGCGGCGTGAGTCGTCGATGGAGCTTTCCATTAACAGAGTAAGTGGCCAACGTCCGCATTTTCTTTGATGTCAGTTAATTTACTAATAACACTGTCTAGGCAATGCCAGGCAACTACAGATGCTGGATTCCCATTATATCACTTGCTTTCCGTTGGTCCTCTAAATATTTGTATCGTCAACAAAACCGTCTCTAGGCTTCAGCTAATGGATCAAATTTTGTTATTTACATTTACTCGATCGTTAAGTTACTTGAATACGCCCGGAAAATATATTTTTTAAACTGGTATTTTTTCTTAGTTAATTTTTATTGCGTTGCATTTATAGAGAAATAAATAAATTGCAAAGCTTGTAACCTGAATTCTACAGAAAAAATTATTTTAACTAAATAAGAAGTTAATAAAATTTACTGAAGGGTCCTAGAAAAATTTAATTCGCCACTCAAATTTTTATTTATAAAATAATCTCGTTTCACTTTTGAAGTTAATTAATATTTTAATTTTATATCAATATGTATTTATTTATATATTTATTTTTCTTTTACTTTATGATAGAAAAAATTTTAAAATATTTTTTTTAAATTACTAATAAAGTATTTATGTAAAAAATTAAATAACAAATTTACTAAAGAATTATAACAAGCAATTATGAATTCAAAAAAATAAAATCGATGGACTGAAATAAAAATATCTATATGTACATAGATTGAGAGGGTGAACGGATCTTTGCCGAGGATTAGTTAGAATTAAGTCGGCGAGCAGCGGAGAAAGTCTAGTTAGAAAGCTCAAGTAGAAAGAGAGCTCTCTAAAAATAAAGCAAGAAGAGAAAAGCCGCGTGCCCCTGTAACACTTAATTTTTCTTTGGATTTTTTAATCTCACGGTAAATATCGCCCCTTACCCTCACCCTTGTCCTTGTTCGTGCTCTAGATGGTTAGTCCCTTGGTCTCGGAGTTGGAGGAGAAATAGAGAATAAAAATAAGTTAAATAAAAGGGGAGAAAAAAGCAAAGCGTCGCGACCTCACGAATATCCGCCCACTCAAGTGAAGCTTCTGGAGGGAATGGTTGTTCGAAAAGAAGAATAAGAAGAAGAATACGAAGAAGGAGAAGAAGGACTTGCGGAGGCAGAAAAGACAGAAGAGGTCGGCGGGGTCTTTGGCATCGTTATTAACCGTACGCCATCAAAGAAGAACCCATTTAAAAACCTCATCAATGCTTAAGCCCCGCGAGGCGCTTCTGTAAGAAATTAATCCCTTCTATTTTACGCCAAGGGACCAGAGTTTTTGGCCGACGAGGTAATACCTTGCCTTTTATTGGCTGATACAAATGTTTTATTTCCATGAAATACTGTGGGATTATTTCCTTTTTTATTATTTTGTTTATAAATATTTTTATTTTTATTTTTTTTTCCTTAAATTTGAAAAAAAAAATTCATATATATGTCTGAAGAGTTACTCTCAGTAATTAATTTTTTAGTTTAATTGAAATAAACTAAAAAAAGTTTAATTTTGAAATGTGACAGTATATATTTAATGGATTTTGGTAGTTGAAATGTGGAAAAACTTTAGAGCTTTTGATACCGAAGAGTGTGTGTATATGAAAATAAAAGTTAAATGAAATACTAACGAACAGAGAGAGGATGGAGAGTACGGAACAAGAGTGAAGCTGGAGGGTAATACGGTTTAAACTGTTAATAGAGTCGAGGGTGTTTGACCGTCAGTCAATCTCGAGTGTTGGGACAACATTCATAACGAAATTAATCTGGGAACTGGACTGCGCTTCGTATGGGTATCACCCTCATACCCTCTACCCTATGCTACTCCCAACAAGCAGCTTGTATAAGGTTTGGTTTGTCCAGCGTTCATCCTTTTATATGAAAGTTGTACCGGGCTTTCACGTTTGTTTTTATAACTTTCACATAAGTGATTTTTTTTGTTTTTTAGGGAATTTGTGGGAATTTAGAAAATTTTACATTCAGATATTTTTTTGCAGTATTTATTCAGTGTTGATACGACATTCATCATTTCTAAAGTCTATTTATTATTATTATTATTATTGAAGAAAATTCAAATACAATTATTACATGACTTTACTGCAAAAAATTAACTTGATTTAAGAAGAAAATTCTTTAATTTAGAAAATCATTTGAAAGAATCTCTGTCTTAAATCAAACAGAAAAATTTTTGAATCAAGTAAAATTTACTTAAGCTAAAAAAAATTTCTTAAATCAAGAATTTTTCTGCTTAATATATTAGGTATACAATAGATTTATATCTACGCTTTAATCAGGCTGACACGCAAATTGTCCAATACTCTTTGAGCTCTAATTAGGCTACTATCAAAACGTTCACATGTATGTATTGTGGGTATTGTTAGCCATTAAGCAATAACTGAAACTGTAATGTACTGATTGAACTCTGAAAGCTAATTTACAGACTATTAGTCTAATGTGTTGGATCTTAGACATCCGATTAGATTGAAGATCTTCCTATATGCTTTGATCTTCCATTAGGTTCAGATTGAAATACATATGTTCTAATTCAATTAATCAATGAACAAATTTGAAGGAAAAAACTTAAATGTAATCCTTAATTTATTACATTAAAACGTAATAAACAGTTTTTCTCCCCTCCGTGCAGAAAGCGTCAATTTTCTGCTCGCTGCGCTAAACGAAAATGCCGCTTTCCGCCTCCGTCGAGGAGAAAAATAGTATTCTCACCACGGGCAGGAAATAAGAAAGCCTCGGCTTCGCCTCGGTCAACAATTACATGTAATCTGAGACATTTCTTATTTTCCTGCCCCAGGTAAGAAAAATACTATTTTTTGTTTATTTTAATTACATTTTGATAATAAAAATAAGGTCCATTTTTTTTTTCAATGCATCTACTATAAAAATTAATAATTATTTTAGTTAATTGAACTGAAAATTAACTAAGACATGAACTAATTAGATTTCATTATTTTATCGCGCTTCACGCAAAGTAAAAGTTTATTGAAAAATTAAAAACTTTTTCTTAAATAATTAAAATCCAACAATATAATGTTCATTACAAACATATTAACTCGTACCAATTACTTAGCACCACGACCAAGTCAAATTAAATTAATCAAACGAAACGTCAGTTTATTGTCTTGATTGATATGATAAAATATGCCAGCAATTAACAATTAAAATTTCTTGTTCTAAATTTTCAACTAACTCAACTCTGAAAAAAAAAAAAAAAAAGAAATTCAAACCTTCAAAACCATAACGTGAATCCGACCGAGTTATTTTATCTCTTTATCAGCTTCACTCTTCATATCTACATTTTAACAACGATAAGAAAATCCATATTCACCTATGTTGCCTATGAATCAGTCTTCAGACAAGTGTTGCGTTGAAAACTGTACCAAATATACGAGACACACGATATAGTATTTTTTACTTATAATTATAATTATAATTACAATTACAAGTTCTATGGTTGTGATTTGATTAGATAATAATATAAACACAAGGTATAATCTTCATTAATAAAACTTACGATGCATTGATGTGACTAATCCATTGTTTTTCTGGAACCAGATCATGACTCACGTGATTCAGATAAAATTAACAACGTCGTGTAAAATTTCAAGTTCCGGTTTGGTTTAATTTTACAGTCATCAGTCATTTTCATTATCAGTTATAAAGCCTTTTTTTCGGATAAACAGAATGATGGTTTCCGGGGCAAGGGAGATAATGAGATTTGAAGAGATGGAAGGTGAATTATCGGGACCAGCTCACCCGATTCCCAATGAATCATTAGACTGCGGGTGTGCTCAATTGCCGTGTCCGAAAATGGCCAAATATGCAACGAGAAAACTGTACGTGGGAATTATGTGCTGGATCGGAGTAATTCAGGCCGCTGGTCAAGCTTATTTCTCTCTTACTGGTTCCACTGTCGCAAGAAGGTTCAACTTTCCTCTAAATTCTATTGGTAAATAAACAACAACTATTCTTATAATTTATAAGATTAAACAGTAACTTTGATTAGAATTGAATAAGTAAATTGTGTTGAAAATAAATAACAAGAATTTATGATTAACAGAATGGATAACGTTGATTAGTGATGGGATTGCTCCATTTCTTCTGGCACTTCCTATCGCTTACTGGGGCGACCGGATCCACAGAGCAGCTTGGACAGGAGCTTTAGTGTTAATCCAAAGTGTCGGGTTTTTCTTTATTATTATTCCGCATTTTAGTCATCTTTCTCCGCGAGTTGTTGAAGAAACAACCAATATTACGCATTTGTCACTTTATTCAGGTAATCAGCATATTTCCAAAATGTAAAATTTATTTAAATATCACCAATTTATTCATAAATGATAACTATTTCTAATACATTTTTTAAGTCATCAAAGTAAAATTATACTTAATATTTACTACAGAAGACAATCCAGAGCTTTGTTCAGCATCAGGACTCGCTCGAGTGTTTGTAGAAGAAGAGGGAATTTGTTACTTCACTTTTACAGTTGTTATTATTTTCCAAATAGTCAATTGTATGGGAAATATTGCGTACTTAGCACTTGGAATTTCTTATTTGGATGACAACACTCGAAAAAGACACGTCGCCGTGCCTTTAGGATTCCTTATAGCTGTGAAAATAGTAGGAACTCTTTTGGGATATCTGGTTGCTTGGGGATGTCTTAGGTGAGGAATTTTTTTTATAATTCCGCTAATTACTTAGACCAATCTGTGACTGTAATTTTATTAAAATAATTTATTTCTAATACTTTAATGTATGTTAGGATAGACGCTAATGATCTGAGCCTTGGAATCGAGTCTTATCGTGAGCAATTCGGTGCTTGGTGGCTCGGATGGCCGATTTTTATGATTCTTCTCGCTATTCCTGGAGTTGTTCTTGCATTATTGCCACGGAGACTTCCTTCAGAGGTTAAAAATATTTTTACTTACGTTTTTGCAAAAATAAATTTAAAAATTCATGAGAATTAAAATGAGTTTTGCCTTACGAATCTCTAAATTTATTAATTTATTTATCACTTATTGATTGTCTTTTTTAATCAAAAGGTCGTCGAACAAGCAGCAGCTTCAATTTTGGACATTGCTGGACGCACGAGCCCTCTTACCGAATCAACGGTATCTGGAGACACTAAAAAATTCGGTGACACCGACTTCTTTTCGTCATTAAAAAGACTTTTCACCAACAAAATCTATCTGTGCAATATCTTCGCCAGTGTTTTAATCATTTGCGCGATTGTAAACTTTGTACACTATGAAGACTTATTTTTAGAATCGCGATTTTGGCTCCCGCAGCCCTCAGGAGTACTTCTAGGATTTCGGGATCCGTTTACTTCGCGAATTGTTGCGAGTATTTTACGCCCGATTGTTATTGGAGTAGTTATTATTTGTTCTGGGTTTATAATTGCTAAGGTTCGCCCGCGAGCCAAGTGGTTAGTTTGCTACAATATTACAATTGTAATGATTGCAGCAATTATTATATTTTCTTTAGCTTTTGTTGATTGTAAGAAGCCGCCGATTTCTGGATCCCGCTCCGATGGATCGTAAGTAGTATTACAGTTCGTTAATACAGAGGTATTATTTTGAAAATTCTATTGTTTAGTAAAATGCTTATTTTAGCATTAAATTCATTATTAATCTAAATCTCTTAACGATTATTACATTAATTGTTAGTTGAAGTACAGAATTATTTTTATTAATTAAATTATAAAATTAATTTTTTTCGCAAGAATAATTTTGCTGAAATAAACAAAATTTTGACCTCTGATTCAAAACAACTTTATTAAAAAAAAAATTATTTAAAGGATATCTTTGCTGGAGTACTGCAACAAAAACTGTCGATGCTCGAAGGACGCAAGCTTCAAGCCGATCTGCGATACCAGAAGCAAGAAAATTTTCTACACTTCTTGTCATGCTGGATGTACAGGCGTTGATACCTCGAGTGAGGTAAAAAAATTCACCGGCTGCACTTGTATAAACTCACCACTAGTACCTTACAATAATTCAGAAGTTATTGATGGCCTTTGCGACCCTTCAGTTTGCCAAATCGGATGGATAGTTTTTGAGGTATAAAAATTAATATAATTATTTAGACGAAGCCCATTACATGCTTATGATATTATTAAAACATTTATAATATTAGGTAAGCACAATTTTGGCCTACACTCTCTTATCATCAGGAGTGATATCGAGTATTCTGATCAGCCTGCGTTCGGTATTCACCCAGGACAAAGCTCTTGCAATAGGACTGTGGATAACTTTGGCAGCATTTATTACTTACATACCCGGCAAAATGTTCTACTGGCAAATAACCGATTGGACGTGTATTCACCGCGGGGATTCCCAATTGTGTCACTTGCAGAGCTCTAATCTCGGGTCGTATTTATCATTCGCGACATCATTTTTACTGGTACTTGCGGTAGCATTGGATGTGTTAACTTACTTTTTCAGCTTTAAATTAAGAATTTATCGTGAGATGGAATTAGAACCTCATGACGTAGCTGAAAATTCATCACAGACACAACCTATCCCACTTGAGTCACTTTCTAAACCAGATGATTCTGGTTCCGCGGCAATTGGTTCTGGTTCTGGTGCGGCGACATCAAGTGACGGTGGAGCAGCTGATGCCGAGCCAAGCATTCGTGCAACAAACCATCACAATTCATCTGACATTATTGAAGTCACCAATTCCGGGTTGATTCATAAAGCCAATGGCCCTTTGAAGTATGGACCCGTCGGCCCTGGAGATTCCGACCAGTATCAAGACCAAAACGAGGACCACGATAGTGACCATGAATTTCGAAACAAACGGGCCCCAATTTCATTGACTACCAATTCTTATCGGCGTCTAGGACTGAATTCGGACAATGATACCAGCGATTCAAGTCGCGGATCGGTCAAACGCTTCAGTGTCCACCAAGCAGCTGTAGAAACTCCGCTTACCAAGGAAGACCTTAAAATGCAACAAAATCCAGTGCTCGCTGGATTTTCGCGCACTGACGATATAAAATTCGTAAAAGTCGAGGACCACCGAAAAACCGGAGATTTTAATGAAGTTGGGATTCCGATTGTTCAGTATCCACTGACCTCGCCAAATTCCCGAAGCATAGGGTCTATTCTGATCTCTCCGGAAATGACGGAGCACGCGAGGAGATTTAGGTCTAAAAACAATCGGCCCAGATTCCGGGATGGTGAAACTGGCAGAAGTGGAGAAAGAAACAGGCCTTCATCTTCTCATCACACTTCTTCTGGGTTCGAAAGCTCGGTATCAGATCGACCCAATGATTCTAAAGCTGCTGATGTCAGAAGAATTTCAAAGTCTACTTCTAATCTCGGTCAGCCAGCTTCTAAACCAAAACTCTACGGGTACACCACTGCCTTGTAATTGTTTTTAATTTTATGTTCTTTTTATTTATCTTTAATTGAATATTTATTTGTAAGACTTGCTAAGTATTTTACGGTCCATGTTATCGAAATATTGAACAAGTATTGGGAATTTTAATTTTTAAGTTGTGTAACCTTTCTTGAATTTTTTATAAAAAATTTAATTCTCCAGCACTTCTGTAATATTTTAAGTATTTTGTAATTTTTAATAAAGTTTTCATACTGTTATTTTATTCATTAATTAAAATTTTATCACATATATATATATATTAATATTTATATTTATGTATCTAATATATATTGTTTTTAATCGTATGCTAGTCTAGAATACTAACTGAATATATTAATTTCACATAATGGTAATGGTAAAAACAAACAACAGGTGTTTAAGGTACGAACAAAATCACATAATACAAACTCAAATTTTTCTAAACAAAAAAATACTAAAAATTGTTTTTTGATTGGTTTTTTGTTTGCTTATATAAACTAAGTGCATTATTTATAATGATAAATATATGTTACAATGATTCTGGTAGTGGCTCATCTTTAACGTCGTTCAGCTCGATATCATCGTCGAAAATTTTGACGTCTTTTACGAAATACCACACTCCAATATCGAAAAATGTACCTATTGTTACGAAAGCTGTAACGATAATTATTGTCAGTTAAAAAATAACTTAATATAAATAATAATTTCATGTGTCCATAATATCAGTTCAGCATAACTATTATTTTAATATCAAAAATTATTACTTACTACTACTACTAATATGATTAATAGAATTAACTTTCAATTATTATTTAAAAACTAACATTTTAATCAACAAAAAAATTTTTTGTATCACTTTACTCGATATCTTTTTAATAATGATTTTTTGCTTTAAAATAGAGAAAAAATAATTTTTTTTCGGTGATATTAACATCTTCTTTTCATTGATGAGCTCAGAAAAATATAATCAAATATTATGAACACTTTTGAATTAAATATATAATTAAAGATTGATCAAACAATATTAATTTTAATCTATAAAAAAAATAGCCAAAAAGAATTAAAAAAATTAAAAAAAAAAAAATGTACTTACTTGCAGCAGTAAAGTTGAGTAAATACCTAAGAGCTTCACCGTTGTATAACCAGCAATTGCCAGTGCCGGAGCAGGTTTTGCCCCAAACGAGGCAAGTCTTGTCTGTAACAAAACACCCACGCAAATGATACATTAAATTGCCACAAATTCCATAACTCGATAATTATATCACGTCACACATTTCACATCTTGTCTCGCTCGTGGACATGATGTCAAATAATATGATATACGATATAATATAATATAGTATAATGCAATACAATTGCAGCGAACAAGTACATAGATTGTATTAAGTAAGCAACAACGCAATAAAGCTTGCGTGCGGAATTACACACTAGTAATATCAACTAATTACCAAGAATAAACCCGAAGAGTATGGGCGAGGGAATAAATGCGAACAGACTCATTATCGTCAATCCGAAACCCATCGCCACGGCTTTATCACGTTCAGCGACGCATCTCACGGAAACCAGGAAATTTGAGGCTCGTCCTGTGGCACCGCTGAATTTTAGGAGGCAGACCACCGCCAAAAATAGGTAGAACTTGTGCATGCAGTCTACCGGACAAGGCCCCGGTACCGCTGTTCCCATTTCAGGGGTCGTAGAAGATTTAAATCCCGTCGATAAGCTCATTTCCGATTTGTTGAATGATGCACGCGAGTATCTCGTTCTTACGCAACTGCAATCCGTGTACACTTTCGTTCCATTTGAATCTATCTGGAAATATATATAAACATACATTATTTTTAATTTCAAGTTATTTTTAACTTGGTTTATTAATTTTTATCTCAAATTTATTGTTTACTTATTGTTAAAGTTTTGAGATAAAGATCTCTACATTTATCTTGCCTAAAATCAAAGTTGAAAAAATTTTTAATTCTTTTTTATTTTAATGTTAAATATCTCAGTACATGTTAAATCTTATTTAAAAAATATATCCTTGATAATTAAGAGATGAAAAATTTAACTTAATTTAATTTATTTGTATTCTGTTATTTTGTCAAATGTTAGTGTTTATCAGTTTCATAAATTTTTATATTTATACTTACAAGTACAAAAACTTGAAAACAATTAGATTTTTTAGTTTGAATTTATTTAATAGAATTTTTTATAGATTATTTTTAATCTTTAGTTTCCAGATTTCAGACTGTTTATTAGCTCTACTTTGTTTTCGCTGTAGATAAATATATAAATTACAATCATAAAAAATGTGTAATTTTAATGGGTTTATTACTTTACAGGTAATACAAATACTTGTTTTTAGTATTTTTCTTGATAACTTTTAAAAAAAAAAGTGAGATATAAAGATTACAATTTTTTATACTGGATTAATTCTTGGTAAATAAATAAAAAAAAATAAAGATCTGAAAAAATCGTCAGCAAATCGATAACTGTAAAGGAAATTAATACCCATCAAGTTAAAGCTAACTTTTATTTTCAACCCGGGAATATAAAATTAATAAACTAAAATATCCAAGTCTGAGCATATACGTCCAAATACTACTTGAATATGTAATTTAAAAAATACACAAGATAAGATAAAAAAAGTTGGGAAAATCCAAATGAGCATGCCTTAAGCGCTCATGTCATACATAAAATATTTAGATCATAATAAAAATTATTCGTTTTTAATTTGAATTTTCCCGCGAGTAGTATTATGCCCTCTGTAGGTCGAACTAAAGAAAAATTTTACCAGATGATAAAACAGTTAGTAATTATACCAGCATGTATATATAGTTTCTGCTTGTTTATAGTTACTAGAATTTGAATTTACGCGCGCAAGCGCGCGCTTGACTATGGAATTTGCATATATTTTCATGCTTATGATATATTCGACCAATCACGTTACGAATAGTTTGATGCCACATACATTTCATCTCAATTTTATATTAGGATTTCAATTCTGTTTATGAAAAATAATACATATATGGCTGCCGAAATCGCAGAAAAAGTCACCGAACTGGCAATCGAAAAAAATTAACTGTATCAAAACGGAATTATTTTGACACGCAAGTTTCACAAGGGTTTTGATAAACTTCCTCAGGAATAAAACAGAAAAAAAATTAAATCGTGAAAGTGATTTTTGACAAAGTTGTGGTGTTGTCAAGCCCATAGCTTCCGTGAATACCAAGCTCTTATTCATTTAATTCATCAGAAAAACGAGTTTTTTCTGAGAAATCTTATTTAATCGATGAGAAAATTTTTTTAATGTATTCTATAGTTACTATTATTTATTTCAATATGCTTTTTATCCATAATTTTTTTCGTTTAAATTATGAAAATCACGTATTAATCGAAATCACGATTTTTAGGCGAGAGTAGAGCATACCTGCGCGCTTCGCGCTTAAGGCATGCAAAAAATTATAAGTAGGTATATAAATAAATAAATAAAACAAACCACAATATTTCGACATCCAGCATGACATGCAGAAATAAAAATTTGGCCTTCATCCGAACATACTGGGTTGTAAGTGACATAATCACAATTACAGTTTTCATTACAAGGAAACTGGGTCTTTAACTCTCCACTGGTGTCTTGGATACTCATCACCTGATTGTCGTTAGCCGAGCAGCCGAGGAAAGCATACGAGATCATTCCCATGACAGAGACCGCGCCGACAATGATATTCCAGGCGGCTAAATACCTTGCTCTAGGTTTGTACTTGGTGATCACCAAGCCGGATAACAAAATCCCAAAAGCGCTGAATACTAAACCGACTGTCCCAGTGATCAGCGATGACACACTCGCAGACTGCTTGTACTGGGTCTCAATGTACTTGGGCATGAAGATCCAGTAGGGCATATACCCCAGAAAATAGAAAACTGTCGCAAGGTTATTGCACATGAGTGTGTTGTTGCTCAAAAGCCGCTTGAATGTTTCAATCATGTCTTCGAAGGAGGCTGGAACTTCGGGGGATTTTTCATCAAAATCGTCGTCGACAATGCCGTTCCCATCTTCTCCGTCTTCATCGAGATTTTTTTTCTCAGCGAGTCTTTCCTGTTCGCGATAACTCGCGGTCGACTTGCTCCTCTCCAACGCCAACACTTTTCGCGCCGCAGCCCTCGGCAGTGTTTTGGGGAACAGCGCAATTATGCTCGCAAAAATCATCAACAAAATCGCCAGGATGATCCACCCAAGCCACCACGCTCCCAACCACCTGTTTATTTTAAGAATTATTATTTATTTGTGTATTAATCAATTAAATCATTAACTAAATTTCATTAGCGGAGTTCAAAATCTGGTATTATTATTTTCTCGGTAGCAGTGACATTGGATTAATTAATCCAGTAAATACTAATTAAATAACTTAATTATAAGTTAAATATTAATGAATAATTAATAACTGTTTTAATCTTATTCTATTCAATAATAATAATTTTTCATTATCATTGTTTATTCATTGCACGGTGTTTGTTAGATAAATATAGTTTATTTAATAGCATAAATTTTAATTAAATCATTAAGATCATTTCCGTGATTGTTCATGGAAAAACTTTTTTATTAAAATTATCCTGAAATTTTTGTTCAAGCTATTACGTGCAATGAAATAAAATTTGATATTAAAATTTTTATTTTAATTAATTTTTTTGGATAATTAAATCTTTTGATTTTTTTGTATCTTCAATATTTACTTCAGACTTTAATTTATTTTTTTAAAAACTGGACCAAAGAAAAAATAAACCAAATTAATAAATATTTGTTAAAATTATTGTCAAATAAATAAAAAAATTGAACTCTGCTTGTGTTGATATAAATTAGGTAATTGATAAATAATTGCCTAGGATCTGTGGTAGTGATTGTGGGAGTCAAAGTGGGACTAATGTAAAACTTGAGCGAAAAAGATGCCAGTCCGTAGCCGATGGCCGGCCCCAGCATACGAAGAAAGTATGAAAAACTTATCGAAACAGGTGTTTTAGACTTTTTAATATTGTCGTCCATGTATGAAACTCCGAGGGTGTAGTAGAGTGATCCACCGATCCCAGAAACGAGCTGGGCTGTAAACAGCAGCACTTGGGGGGCGAAATTACTCCCATCGGTGTCATCACACACAGGTTTGCTGTTCTCCGTACCTTGGCACAGAAACTTTCGCTCGCGATTCCCACTCCAGTGCATGTCACTCTCTGATGAGTTTACCGGTTTCCCGCCGTATTCCTTCGTCAATTGAAGCGCGTCTTCACCAGGCCCGTACAAAAAGTGAGGAAGCATCGTCAAACAACAAAACATTACTACCTGAGGGTTAAAATTACGGACAATTACAAATTAATTGTTGATGTAAAATTTTTTTCAAAGTTAGCAACAGGCGTCTTACAATTCTTAAGATAAGAAATTTTCAAAATAATTTTTTTTTTCAATTTGTTATTTATTGTCAGACGTCTGCTAAATTTAGTATAATTTTTTACCGTATAAATACCGACGGCAATCCATCGAGGTCTGTGTCCTCGACCAGCGTAATAAGATAAGACCACTGATACAAGCAATTGAGAAATATCGTTTCCAACGGTGATGAGACCTTTAAATACATTTTGTAATTTATTAAATTATCATTGTATCTTATTATCATAGCCATGCACTAAATGAAATGTCATATTTAAAGCTGTCAGTCATTCGACAATTTTTCCATTGGAAAAACACTTATACTTTCACTGAAAATATAATTTTTATAAAATTAATAATATTTTTTGACGACAGAAAGATAAAAATGATCAACACTTTAAAAAAATGACGATTTCTCACCGATTTGTTTACCTTGAGAAATTTTTTTAAGATAGTACTGTCGATCGTAGAATTACTCTTCAGAGTTTAATTAAATTTGGTATTGCAGAAAACCAAAAAAAAAAAAAAATTAAATTTTTACAAGAAATACCGTTCAGACTTCAATAAATATTAATTTCAATATATTTATAGTATTGACTCACAAATTATCTCTGTGATTTTTTTTCAACGCGACGTTGCATCGGTACATCTACGAATATATAAATCAAACGAGACTTGACATGTATTTGACATTTTACAGTTGAAGTATCGACAGTACTACTTTAAGTTAAATTGTAATTTTGAAAATTTTCAATGAAAGTAAAAAAAAAAATTTGTTTCCTTGGAATAAAAATTGTTGAACGTCTATAGAACTTTTTGTATCGTAATTAAAAGTGATAACCTGATAATAGATAAAAAAAAATTAAAACTTCAAAAGAAAAATAAAAACCAATTATTACTGTGAAGTATATAATAATTTAAATTTTAATTATGTGTGACTAAGTTTGATATTTTTATGTAGGGAATAAGATAATTATTTCAATTGCACATTAAGAAGAATCTCTTAATTCTTCTTAATAATTGGAAGTTTGTTAATGAAAATAAAATTAATAATAAAAATAATAATAACAACAAATAGTTATTGAAAAATAAATGAATATAATTCACCAGTGGTCTTGGACGGAATTTTAAATCTCTTCTCAATAGTCGTAATAGTGCCATTGAAGTAAGCATAACTAGCACTGAATATGCATCCAAGGACACCGTAAAGAAATACGTAAGCATTTTTATTGGCGAATTTTTGTAAATTAGGCCCGCGAAAAAACCAAATACCGCAAGAGGTGTCGTCGGTAAGTGGTAGGTCGCGGAAAATGTCATCGATTCCGCGTAGGGAGGTAGGCGAGGTGGTCTTTAGCTTATTGTTCTCCACTGTTAAGTTCCGCGAAGTGTCCAGAAGAAGTTTGCTCTCCGGTCCATTTTTATTTACATCCGCGGTTTCTTTTTTGGTCATATTGCACTCGGGTACTTTATTTCCCTTAACTAAATAAACAAAAACTTTAATAATAAACTTTTGTTCCTTTTACTTTTAAAATTTCTTGTTACTAATAATAATTACACAAATAAGATTATAATTTTATAAAAGTTTTGTGGTCCTCATTATCACAATTGGGCACCCAGTGTTCGGGCAAACGAACTTATAATTTAAAAATCACATTAACACAGTCATTATAAGTGATTTTAAAAAATTTTTATTAGACACAACAAAGGATTAATAAAATAAAAATAAAAAGTAAATTAATGAAACTAGTTTATATTACACTTAGTTTCTATTTAGAGTAAATAGCTTTGAGTGGCGAAGACGGCAGGACACACGTGCAAGACAAATTCTCGCTTAGGAATGCGCTTTGACACAATATTCTTTATCGACTGAGCTCATTCACGTCTTACACCGTCTATATATCACATTTTACAAGTGTGTATGTAAGATAATGATATAAAACTACTTCTCACCCGTAAATTCATCAGTACTCCCACTTTTATATTCAACAATATCTCTGATTAGAGATTTACAGTCTAGACTTAATTCTATGATACAAACATCGCTTTTATTTTATTTTATTTTTTTTTTAAATTAGTTAGAGACAATATTGATAAACACATGGATCGATTCGGTGGCTTGGATTTTTAAAATTAAGATTATAATACAAATAGTTGACTAATTTTTATAAAATTATATTAACAGGGGTATTTTTAAGTTAATTGTATGTAATACAATATCTATGAGCAATTTTGAGAGGCAGAAAGCCAAGTAAACTGTTTATTATAAAAGGTATACGGTATATAATAATTTAACCAAGTTTATAACGTAAACTCGATCACTGGTTGACTCTAGTAGCTCTCGAGCACTCTGTACTATACTAGTAGACCAACTGTCTTGACTATGATCACATTGTGAGTCCATTATGATTTAATAGAACGAAGGTTCATACACTTGGGCTTTCATATACACCCATGATATATACGTACATGTACGTATACATACGTCTTGGAAATTGAGATTTTCTGGAAGCTACTTTCAAAATCTTTTTGATAGTTTTCAAAAATATATTTGAATTTTTATGACACCATATACTGATATGAAAATCAATTTGACACAAGGGAAAAAGTTTTAAATTAAATTTATTTTTTTGTCAGCGTAAGAAGAAATTGGAAGAATAATTTAAATAGTAATTTCAATCACAATAATGTTTACGATTTTTATCACAACATATATTTTTATAAATTTGTAACTTTATACTTTACTAATATCAATGAAATATATAGTTATCGATGATTGAATATTCATAATTCATAATTTAATGTAGGGTCTTTATTAACTGTAGGGTTGAATACAATAATTAATAACAAAGCAGATAAACAAATTATTTTGGTCCAAAATATTTAATCAACTTTTGTTAGAGATATCTTGGGTAATTTATATATTTACACAGAAAAAAAATGTTCTTGAATCAAGTATATAATTTTGAAGAATTTAATATTCGTGATTTGAGTAAAAAAATTCTTGAATTAAGGAAATTTTACTTGATTCAAGACAATTACCCTCTTTAAAATTATATTCTTGGTTCGAGAATTTTTTTTCTAAAATCAAGTTAATTTTTTATGTTAATTAAAGAGCAATCAAAAAATTTATTAAAAATCCTTCATTAAATCAATCCACAAGAATTTTAGTAATGTCATGAGACCTTAGAAGAAATCTATTATTCTTAAAACTACCGGATTTGCAATTATAAAAAATCATTGAACTCATATATAAATTCAAATATGTGTGATATTTGCTAAAGATGATGGCTCGTCAGTAACGTGTCGCGACAATAATGCGCGTGTTTTATGTGCAAACAGTAATAATAAAAAAATACGTCGTTGGTTGATAACAATAAAATGCAATAAATTATTACAATTAACTACTTTGTATTATTTTATTATTATTATTATTATTATTATTATTATAAACTTATTTATATTTTAAAATTATCTCGTGGTTGGATTAGTTTTTATTTTAGAATTTTTAACTAAGCACGAGACGCACGTGCAAATAAAATCCGAGAAATAAATAATCTCTTTCTCTTTCTTTCCTTATTTGATTATAATTTTGTGATCGTTATTATTACTACTACTGTTATTTTTTAAATAATATTTAATCAAAGCTATCTGGCGCCAAGTAGCTGCCTAAGTAGAATAAAATCATCGCGTTTACGAAAATTATTTTATGCGCCGTGCATCTATTATATTATTTAAAAGGCAGCGACAATTTGCGCACTAATTTGTCGATCTCACGATAAATTTAAACTAACATTTATCAAGTATTACCTTATACGTCACGATGATCTTGAATCTTTTAAATTCTCGATTAGGTACGTCGAAAAAATATAAAATAAAAAAAACCAATTTAGCTATTAAATTAAATTAACAATACAAAATAACAATTTTAATTAGCAGTAAATAGATAAGCGGAAAAATTTTAAGATTAATGAAAATTTAATTCTTATCTTTTAATTTATCATAACAAATATAATCTTGTGAAAGTAAGATTAGCGCTCGTGTTAAGTTAGTTGATTATCTGATACGTTTGACCGATAATAACAATAAATATAGTCTTTTTTATTTTCGGTTTATTTAATATGTCAATGTGTCTGTTTCAATTTTTAGATTTTCTACTTATTTACTTTATCACAGAGTCGATAGTCGCCGTAATTATAAGTTAATTTGCTAACAAGTAATTACTTCTTCTTTATAGTATTTCAGTCAAGCACTTAATAGATCAAAATTAAACATTCATTAATTGGTTATAATTAGGACCAGGGACTTCGTATAGAAGGGGTAAAACAATTGATTAAAACAAATGCTCGAGCCATAGTTATAATAATTAATGACTTCAATAAGACGGATTTAACTATCGTTACTATAAATACATATTTGATATTTTAGTTCCCTATTAACTAATTACAAAATTTAATCATCCTAGAATTAATTATAATATCAATTACTTCAAGTTGACAACATAAGTATCCAGAGAAAAAATTATAAAATTTAAATTATCGGTAATATTTAAAAGATAATGAATTTCAAAGATCAATAAATTATAAATAAGATCCTGTCGGTAAATGTTGATAAAAAATATAATAATTTATCAATATTATTGTGTTAAAAAATTGCTAAATAACAATTAAAATAAATAATTTTATTAACGTGCATTAAATAAACAAAATCAATTTTTTTTTAATTATTGATTTTTTTTTATTGTAGACAAAGTACAGACAATTTATTTGAAAATTATTTAGAAGAATTAAAAAATATTTTTGAACAATTTATTTGTCAAAAAAAAAAAATTCTTGATTTATAATTTTTATTAAGAAATGTAAGAATTTAAAATATGCGGAAGATTTAAAAAAAATAGAAAAAAGTAAAATTTATTATGCATCTTACATACTATCATCATCATAGTAAGACCGTCGAGAACGATTTCGACATTAATCATCAACATTTATTCGTCGGTTAGCTACAGGTACTTTTGTAAAGTGGAGCGAATAAAGCGAGACGTTTAATAGTTATGTCGACGTAACGTCATTAAATCTTTGTATTCGTGATATGACGACGGAATATAAGACAACCTTTACTTGCACAGATCGACATGTATGCCCTGCTTTCGTCTTCTATTCTCCACCTCGCCGTTGCGTCTATAGGCTGTACTTTGACTCGGAAGACTTTGATGAGTGCTACCCAAAATGGGTCACGGTCACCCGCGTAAGCTCGTATCAACTTATCAGCGATTCACCGAAATCAAAACAAACTTTTTTTTTTTCTTTAAAAAAACATAAACACATATGTTTTTAATGATCTTTTAAATTTTTAACGAGATACGCGATTTTTTAAATGTAATTATTTCATCGCATCTTTGCATTATCCCAGAATTCATTAGCCCGGAGATCTAGGAGGCTTATAAACTAAAAGGCTTCGTCTCTTAGCTCAGACAAGCTCTCTACTTTCATTTCCGTTTGTTTTTTTAAGCGACGTCGTTGAATCCCCTGCAGAATTTTAAAAATGAAGTAATAAGAGAAAAAAAAGTGATTGATTTTTAAAAATTTATTTAACTAAAAAAATATAACATATTATAATATTTATATCTGTATATAATATTTATTTATAAAACAAATGATGATAATTTATAATTTTTCATTGTATTGAATAATTATTTTATCTTTTTTATTATTATCACTTATTTTGGTATCTTCTAGTATAAAATTTTTACGTTTATCTTCATTGGCTCCATATAAATCCAAATCTTTGCTGAGATAACAGACACACATATCTAATAAAACTGCGACGAATGTAAAACCTTGGATAAACAAGAGAAAGATTTTATCGATGGATTAATTAAATTTGTTTATGGTTATAATTTATTACAATTAAAAAACTGGTAAATCTAAGTGTGCATGCTTTAAGCGTGACATTTTATTTTATAGTTAACTTTGAATAATTAATTAAATTTACCTGAATAAAAAAATTGTTCAAACGAAAAACTATTTTGACAACAATTTATATTAAATAATAATATAATAGTTCCAACTATTAATAATTTTTTAATCTTCCATTATAAAATCATTTATTTAAAAAAATTAACTTGTCAAATGTTTGCTAATTTAGGTTATTTATTATAGTATTTAATTGACTGATAAATCATATTTTTTATATTTTTACTAACAAATTATTTATAAGCAAAATATTGGAATAATTGATAGAAAAACTAAAATTATTTTTTGTAATATCAAAATTACTTTTAATTACATGAATAATTTTTTTTTAATTTACGAAAAATTTAAAAAGCAGAAAATGCATACAAATTTTGCGCTTAAAACATGCAATTAAAAAAAATTAATAAAAGTACACGGAGAGAAATTTATAGGAATCTTTCCGACAATTATGGGAATGGATCCTATAATAAAATTATCATTATAGGCATTAATCCGATACTCATTATGGGAACCATACCCATAATTTATTGGAAACGTTCCTATACAATAATGGAATAGCTTCAATATATTATGGGAATGGTTCCTATAATATTATGGGAATGGTTCCTATAGTATTATAGGAATGGTTCCTATAATATTATGGAAATGGTTCCCATAATCTTATAGGAATGGTTCCTATAATATTATGGAAATGGTTCCCATAATCTTATAGGAATGGTTCCTATAATATTATGGAAATAACGCACATAATGATAGAAAAAAGTTTATTTTCTTAATAATGAAGCAATCACTTCAAACATATAAAGTAATTATTATGTATTTTTTTGTTAATAAAATTTTTTTTTGTAAATAAAAATTGATCTTTCATTAGAGTGACGAAATTTCTTTTTCATAATTTTTATTCATGTGTGTACTTAATCTTGAATTATTTATTCCAGTTCAGTTATTATTGTGTTAAATAATATTGTAGCAATTTTTAAGTTTCTCTAATAAAAAGGATATTTTCTCACTATGCAATTGTAGGAGCAAAATAGATATGGGAATTCATTGTTTATTTTCACAATCTCATTTTATTTTTAAAGCAAATTATTTATTTAAAATATATACGTTGAGCCGCGAAAACATTTGAAAATTTGGAATTTCAAAACAGTTGGAAATTTTATTTTATTTAAGAAATTTTTTTTTTCTAGTAGAAAATTTTTTTTTAATTAACTTTTTTTTTTTTAATTAATTTTATTTTAATTTACAAGCATTCAAGATTAAAAAAATATCAACTGCTGCAACTGATTAATTTCATAATGATAATAATAATAAATATTATTACTGATAACTTTTTTTATCAATTTATATATTATAAAAAAAGAATCACTTAATCAAAAAAAATAAATCTAGTGAAAAGTAATTAATTAAATACCACAGTTGTGTGAAAAAAAATTACTCCAATATTATTGGCATCATTCCTATAATATTATGGGAATCATGCCGATATTACAGTTATAATTATAGGTATCGTTCCTATAATTATAGGAACCATTTCCATAATTATAGTAATGCTTCCCAAAAATGATGGGTATAATTCCCATAATTTAAGTAATCGCTCCTAAAATGGTATAGGAAAATATATGTAAATACTATAATTGAGTACTTACAGGCACCGGTGACGTTAAATAGATAACGAAATTTATCTTTGTCATAGTACCAGCAATTGCCGGTAGTCCCACAAGATTTTTCCCAGATGAGACAAGACTGATCGCAAATAAATCCGTAAACAATGGGACCAGGTATCAGCGCAAAAAGCGATATGAACATCAGGGTGACTCCCTGAGCGACGCTCTTGTCTTTCTGCTGTACGCACCGATAATTTATCAGCACGTTTCCTATTTTGCCAGTCGACATCAAGCAGTGGCAAATCATGCTCAGCACAATGAATGTTATGTACGAGTTAATGCAGTTTCCTAGGCATGGCCCGAGGACAACTGTATCGTCTGGTATTGGCTGGCTCGTATTTTGGTTGTAATTGTCATTGTAGTATTTTTCGGGTGCAAGGTAATTAGCGGTGCTTGGTACACAACTGCAGTTGCCGTAGTGCCGGGCGTCAATTAAACTGGTGCAACCAGCGTGACACGCTGAGAAATATGATGTCATTGACGCTTCGTGGCACACTGGCGCGTATTTAACGCCGTCACAATTACATCCAACATTACACGCTGTTGTAAAATTAACCCTTTAAATATCAATAGTTGTTAATTATTATTATAATTAAAAATTTGATTTTTTCAATTTTAAGTGAAATACTTTTCAATTAACTTTCAAAATTTTTTTTTAGAAAATTAAGAAAAAAATTTATTTGTAATTATTCGAAATTATCATAAAAAGTAAAATTAAGAGTTTAAATTTTGATAACTTTTTTTTTTAATTGTTCAATATTTTAATGGAAGTGAAAAAAATTTTTTTCTAAAAAAAACGTTCTAACATTTACATTTTGTTATAAGTCATAACAATAGATAAAATATAACTTACTCCATGGTAATAGAATTGACTCCTTCAATAGGAACTTGGTTACAGCCAATAAAAATGTAACTTATTTGTATAAAAAAAGCAACAAATCCACCGAATACATTCCAGCTCAAAAGTCTTGTAGGTCGTGGCTTAACTTTGCTTATGAAAAACCCCGAGCCCAAAAACCCCAGCACCATGCCTACCAGCGCAATTGGACCTTTATAATCAGTACATTGAAAAAAGAAGAAAAAAAAAAACAACAATTATTAGGTTATAATTATATAATTAAATAAAATCTAATCCAGAGCATAAAATAAAAATGATAGTACCTGTTATAACAGTACCCCCAGCTGCCGAAGTATTAAATTGTACCTCGAGATACTTGGCCATGAAGGTGAAGTAAGGAAGTAGACCGAAAATTCCAAATACAGCGCTCAAGTTGTTGCAAAAGAGAATTTTATTCGAAAGAACGCGCTTCAGCGTCACCGGAAAATCTTTTAACGAAGGCTGATGCGCGTTTTCTTCCTCACATTTTTCAATTCTAGGCGGTAATTCTGGTACCCGTTCGATTCCGTTGTGAATTTTTAATGGCAATTCACCTTCTATCTGTTTTAACAAGAATAATTAATTAATCATTTAATAAAATGTAATTAATTTTATAACACTGAGAAAAAAATAGATCTGTCTGAAGAATTGGTCGAATTAATTTTAATAAAAATTTATTTAATTTAACTAAGCCTATTTATTTATTTGCTTGATACAATAAAAATATATAGTTATATTTTTTTGTCAAAAATTAAATATTTTAACAAATTTTTGAGTTAAGAAATACTTGTGTGGACATAATTAAAATTTTTTCTCAGTGTATTAAGTTAAAAGCTTGAATGAAAAAAAAAATTACCCTATTCTTGTTGTTGTTTTTTTTTTTATTATCTTTTGGCAAATGTTTGGGAAACATAGCGATAAGTAGAGCAAAAATAAGAAGCAAGCACCCGAGAATAATCCATCCCAACCACCAGGCACCCAACCACCTTGGATCTTTGTCAGTAATAACTGGATGTAGACTCGGTACAATGTAAAGCTTCAAACAAGCGTAAGCTAAAATGAATCCCAACGCTGGTCCAGTGGTTCTTAATGCAAAAGTAAATCCTACAATATTTAAACAATTTAAATATTATGTTTTTGTAAATTTAGTAATTTTATTTATTTAATAATTTTTAAGTAATTAATTTTACCAAGAAGCATCGGGGTGTTTGATTTTTTGGTATTATCATCAAGATAAGTTTGTCCCAATCCAAAGTACAGAGTAGTGCCAATCCCGAGGACAAATTGGGACATGAATACCAAAAACCGCGGCAGTAAACTCCCGTCCATAAGATCCTCCTCATCGCATTTGTCGTGATCGTTCGTCCCGGGACAGAGGTAAGTCGGGCTATTACTCGAGCCGGCTTTTGTTGAATTTAAAAAAATGCTTTCTTCCAAATGCTCTTGAGTCAAAGCCAGCGCTGCCTTACCAGGACCGTAGATTAGATGGGGAATCACTAGAATGAAACATGATAATGCACTGAATCCTACGCCGGCTGCTAGCCATCTTGGGCGGTGTCCTGCGCCCCCGTAGTACATCAGAATTAATGACAGGATTTGTGAGATCTCGTTCCCAGACAATATGATACCTTTAATTTTTATTTATCAATTATTAAATTGGGATGATTTAAGCTAATAATTTCAGGACAAAATGAGGATTTTGTCGAAATTTACGAAATCGGACAAAATTCATAAAATGGGAAAATAAATTTTTTTTTTTTAATTAATTTAATTGAAGGAAAAAATTATTGAATTGAAAAATTTTATTGATTCAAGTAAATTTTACTCAGTTCAAAACTTTTTCATTTTAATTCAACACAATAAAGTTTTTCAAAATGATTCTATTGAACATTCAAAAATTTTTCCTTTGACTCAATTTAATTTTTTTTCAGTTTACTAATATTAAGAAAAATTAACGCAAAAAAAAAATTTTTGATTTTAAAAATCAGAGAAATTTTAAAAAATATTTATGAAAATCAATTTGAATTTAGCTAGAAAAATATAAAATTCACCTGTTGTTTGACTAGGAATTTTAAATCGTTTTTCTAATGTCGTCAGCGTGACGACGATATAAATGAAGGCCATCGCCTGTACAAGTCCCAGAAAACCATAAACCAAAATAAAGGTATGTGGCGTTGCGCGCTTTTGGAGCCACGTTGGATAAATTCCACACAGTCCACAATGTGTTGGCCTTGGTTCCGTCATAGCTTTATTGTTTATTGTTACGTATTTATCAATCTCCCATTCAGCTTTCAAGCCCTACGCAAAATGAAAAAAAAATATATACTTACTAGCCGTTTCCTGCCCGCTTCGCTGGGCGAATTGAAAAAGGAAATAAATTACATTTTATGTTTCATTTTTATTTTTTTTTTTTTTCATATTTTCATTATTTTCCTTTTTTTTTTATTTCTGTATGAACACAAATAGGCCCTGCGGATAGAACTGTAAGCATCGATATTGTTTAGATTTACACAAATTCCAAAGATTTAGCCTGTATTATAACATTTCCGTGCCTTTCTTCCAAAAATTAATAATAATTGACATGAAGAAAAAAATTTGAAATGAGCATTGAAAGTTTAAGTTAAAGTCATTGTAAGTTTCATATGTGAAGTTGAAATCTGTCTAGGTTCAAGTGCGATGAATTTTCTGTTAACTCAAATTTTCTCCGTGACATCAATTTTCTATAGAAAATTAATTGTTCATGTTTTTTATGAATTCTATTGGAATAAGTAACTAAATTTCTTTTCCACATCTCAAGTGCTTGGAAAATACATTCATTTTAATCTGTTACATTTCCGCGATCCCGCAATAAAAGAATTCGTCGGTTATGTAGTCTGCAAAAGTAAAATGAATGTAAAATTCTTAGTCCGTTGATTGGATAGCTACATGTAAAGTTAAGTTTTGGAAACCTCTCAATGACTTTTTCTTCGCTGCCAAAAAGACGATTGTTGTAAGGAAATACACGAATATCCCTACATACACGATCCCCACCAAATTTGGAGTCTGTAGAAGTTACAGGTTGGAAATTAAAATTTTAGATTTTAACACCCACCCCCGCAATTCCTGTCAGGAGTAGACTTCATTGAAATCCATTTTGAGATGATCTTTATGTGAATAATAAAAGATTCCTACCATATTTAAAATTTTTAGAAGCTATATTTCGAAATTGAAAGTTTTTATTGTTAACACCCACCCCCGCGAACCTTATTGGAGGTGATTCATTGTAAAATCCGCTCTAAGATCATTTTTATATTACATATAGAACACTCTCACTAAATTTGGAGTCTATAGGAGCTATCGCTTAGAAATTAAAAATTTTCATTGTTAATGCCCCCGCAATCTTCTTTGGGGTGGGATATCGTAAAATTTGTTCATAAATCATTTTTACATCACTGATAGAAAATTCCTACAAAATTTGGAGCTTGTAGGAGCTTTAGCTGGAAAATTAAAATTATTAATTGTTAATACCCACCCCCGCAACCCCCTGCGGATTGAGCTATCGTAAAATTCGTTCATAGCCTATTTCTACACCTCTTACAGAAGATTCCTACCAAATTTGAAGTCTATAGAAGCTATAGTTTAAAAACGGGAATTGTTCATTGTTAACGCCCCCGCAATCCCCTTTGGGCGATGAATTTCTTAAAATCTATTCATAGCTGACCTCTACAGAGCAAAAGTAATATTCCTACCAAGTTTCACGTTTCTAAGTCTTATAGTTCCCGAGATTTCGTGATGAGTGACTATATAGATGGGAATTCTTCGATTATCATCGAAATTTTTAACTTTTTATCGGACTTTTTTAAAATTTTCTTACATACAAAACTTTCTCCTGACAGTTCTGAAGATAAAAAAAAAGCCCAATTGGTCCAGCCGTTCTGAATGTAAAAAACCATAATCCGTTTAATATACTCTGTTGAAATCCATGAAAACAAAAGAATCAAGAGAAAATGCTTATCTTTTGTTTTTATTAGCGGGATAAATGTTCATAAAAGTAAAACAGCAATAAAAAAATGAAGGAATGTTGGAATTCAAAAAATAGATAGCCATAAACCATCTAGGAAAAATTTCGCATCGAATGGTGGTAGTTTCATGTCGATACGATCAGTGGTTTAGGCGTGATTGAGCCTCAAACGAAGACCATTTTCATTATATCTATCTATATATATATATATATATATATATAGATTTATATCCATGTATGTTAATAAAAACAAAGATATCATTGAACAGAGTGATAAAATGAAACCGCGGATAAATTTAATACCCGCAGTATTTTATTATATTGTCTTACTGAAAAATAAACCTGCTATCTATAAATCGCAGTTAAGTATGTAATAATGATACTCTTGTCTTAATTTCAATGACAATTACTTTTTTCAAGATTTTCATATCGCATCATAAACATGACCTTACAATCACTTTAAAAGTAATCAATTCATTTGTAAGACTAATTTAAAAAAGTAATACTTTTAAAAAGTAACGGACGTATGCGTATTTCAGTAACGATGAACTTGTAAAAAATTTTATTATTGTAAAATAAATCTAAACTCGATTAAGGTAAAAAAAAAATGTTATCTATTGTGATCCAATTTCTGGCTAGTTAGTTGCGGAAACGTGCAGTTAAACACAAAAGCCCACGGTTACTATTCGCTTTTATTTGCCTCTCGACATTGGTTGACAGCTTGACATCTCCTCGTTTCTTACCTTGATATTAAACAGACCATCGTTACATATATCTACATACTATACATATAAATAACATATTTTTACTATTTTATCGATCAAACATTATCCTATTTTATTATAATTATCCTTTTCTATTTATATTTCTGTCCATTATATATCGATTTACCAATAATTATTGATTTCAATCAATTTTTAATTTTACTTTCTTCATTATTTTTTATTTAAATTCAACTTTAAACTCAGTAGAATCCAATTTTTTTAATTTTTACTAAGATACAATTTTTAGTATTCATTATTGAGATTAATAATAATTTTTTTCTAATAATAATTTTGTTAAACATTTTTATAAATTTTAATTTAATAAAAATCATCCAATAAATTTTAACAATAACAAAAGTTATAAATTTGACAGCTGTCAAAGTTTCTCTTGAAAATGTTTGTTTTTCAATTTAAACTAAACTTATTACAGCAAAAAAGTAATTAATTACAAGACAATGAGTATTTAACGGTGCTCAACAAATGAATGAATAAATAATGAATTTCTAATGGGCATTAAATGCTTTTATTGATGTACCTTTTATATAATGAATAATATATTTACGTGCTTATATATTTACATATACACGCATATGTATATATAAATATGTAGCAGTAACATGTGTAAGCACAATCAATTGACGCGACTTTTCGTAATAGTAAGCGTTCATGGAGCATACTTCCGTTACTGTAATGACATCACGTGCGCGAGAGTTCTCTGGGTACGATCGAGATTGCATGAAAATTAAGAAACTAAGATCATGATAATTATTTACGTATGTTGATGACTTGCAATTACAATCTATACATGAATCAATCTTTCTTCTTCATCACTATAAGTACCTAATTTGTTTTTTAATAACTTTTTATCTCATGTAATATATAAGATTATAGAACTGAGCGAACAATGGATATCTAATCGATTTTATACATTTATCATCGCGATCTTAATCGAACAAATAGCGATAAAATTTGTTTGTATTGTCTGTAAAAAATTGAAATAGACCGTGCAAATATTTAATGGCTATAATGAGAGAGGGGAGTAAAAATTTTTAAATAAAAATAATCTTGATGTGACGATGAGTTTGAATGTCAACCTGATGTGATGAATTACGATAAGTTAAGGACGTTAAAAAGAAAATTACCTAAGAATATAAATGATGATAAATTAAGTTATAAATAATAATAATAATAATAATAATAATATTAAGTTCCACTAGTATCATGATTATGATCACTAAAAATTATAACTCAAATTTTAAATGAAAAATAAAATAAAATAACAAGATTTTTACCGTAACATCTCCCCGCAATTAGGGAGCCCGGGGATTGACTGCCTGTTTTTTTTTAGCCAGGATGCTTTTTTTAATAAACTCGCACTCTACGCCACTGATAATATTTTTTTGCTGTTAAATGGTAGTAGTACTATCTCATGAGCTCTTTGCAGGACAGGATCTCGCGGATACCGCGGGATAACTACGCGAAGAGACTTTGTGCTGTGGTGATAATCTTCCTTGCTCTTGGCCTCTTACAAACGGTACCTATCACAATTGTCCCCTCCGCAGTACCACAGTCCGAGTTACATAGTTATGTGTAAATATACGTAGAATATATATGTGTTATAGACATACTTTTCCTCCTGCGCGTTTAGTAACATCCATTCTAAATTCATTCAAATAGAACTAAACGCAAGTGGAAGCGCGAAACAATTATTTATCTACATTTTACTGCCATCTTGTCGGGGATTTTGTTATTAAATTTTATATCTTCTGCTGGTAAAATAGAATTCATTCAATGTTAAGAAATTTTAATTTCAATTTATTATTTTATTAATTAAAAAGAAGCATACAGTTTTGAATGTCTATTTGCTTTTGTTTAAAAAAATTAAATAGAAAATTTTTAGAAAATTTAGATTCAAAAATTTTTGTCTCACGTAAATTGAACTTATTATTATAAATTATTTAAGGTAGTTGTAGCGTGAAAAGCATTTCAACAGAAAGTTATGAAATTTTTTTTATCGAAAGATAAATATATTAATAATTCACTACCAAAATTTCAGATCAATTGACCGCACCGTTTTTGAGTAATTAATTTTCGAAATCGCATCTTTTACACGTAGAGGTATAGAGAGATGGTAAAGTTAGTATGAAATCTTTGGCCCACTCGAGTGGTGCCAAAGATTTCATAGTATATTAGTTCTCTCTATACCTCTACGTGTAAAAGATGCGATTTCGAAAATTAATTACTCGAAAACAGTGCGGTCAATTGATCTGAAATTTTGGTAGTGAATTATTAATATATTTATCTTTCGATAAAAAAAATTTCATAACTTTCTGTTGAAATGCCTTTCACGCTACAACTACCTTAAGAATAAATCCTAATATAAAATTGAGATGAAATGTATGTGGCATCAAACTATTCGTAACGTGATTGGTCCAATATATCATAAGCATGAAAATATATGTAAACTCTATAGTTAGGCGCGCGCAAAATTCAATTCTAGTCCTAATCCACTCTTATAATTTAGATGAAAAATATGAAAATATATCATGTAAGAGCAAACTATTCGCAACGTGATTGGTCAAATATATCATAAGCATGAAAATATAGATAATTCCATACCAACAATCACACGCGCGCTTGCGCGCGCAACGTATACTAGTCCACTCTTATAATTTAGATGAAAAATATGAAAATATATCATGTAAGAGCAAACTATTCGCAACGTGATTGGTCAAATATATCATAAGCATGAAAATATAGATAATTCCATACCAACAATCACACGCGCGCTTGCGCGCGCAACGTATACTAGTCCTATAATAAAATTGAGATGAAATGTATGTGAAACCAATTTATTCGTGATGTGATTGGTCGAAAATAAATATTCTTATTCTGATTGGTTGAAAGTGAATATAATATACATAAACGACACATAAATATATCATGACAATAAATATGAGGCGCGCGCTCTCGCGCGTAAATTCAAATTCTAGTCCTAATATAAAATTGAGATGAAATGTATGTGGCATCAAACTATTCGTAACGTGATTGGTCAAATATATCATAAGCATGAAAATATATGCAAACTCTATAGTCAAGCGCGTGCTTGCGCGCGAAAATTTGAATTCTAGTTTTTTAAAAAACCGATTATTCTTAGGCAATAAAAGCATTGAAATAATTAAAAAAAATTTTTTTTTAAGTTTTATTGAGTAAATTATAATTAAATCTAAAAAATGGAGGTACAATAAAAATACAAAGTTTTAATATTAATTATTTATTAACCGTACATCGAATTGATAATTACAATTAATATATAACAAATAAATAATAATGAAATGAATATTAAATTCAATAATAGAAATAACTAGTGAAAATAATTAATAATGCAAATTTAGCTATACATTAATTTATTTATTTATCCGCATTAATAATTTTAAATTTAGAAACTACATTTATTAATTATCTAGATAATTTTTAATGATAATGAATAATATAGTTCTACTTAATAACTAATTAATAAAAATGATATACATTAATCAATAACATATGAAAGATGGCAATTATGACGTCAATTAAGTAATAACAATAGTAATAGTTAATAATTATGAAAAATAATAATTATTAAATTGCAATAGTAATAAAATAATGTCATATACATACGACAATAATTATTGTTTTGTTTTTCATCTATTTTATGATTCAACTTAACTTAACTTTTTAATTAATTACTTTCAACTGTGTTTTTATCAATATGCTTTTTCTCTATACTATCAATTTTGTTCGACCTAGACATTCAATTTTAATTTCGCTAATTTATCAAATTTTATCTCAAGTCTCAATTAGTCAGATTTAGTTATTATTATCAACAACTGATCATCAATTAATAATTAATTTTTATCGAAATACGAATTAAAAAATTGTACATTTTACCAGGTCTCGAGACCAATCATTAAACTCTCATTGACTAGCTTCCAAAAATAACTTTTATTTAAAATTCACTTTACTTTATTATTTTCTCTACTGTACCAACTACTTTAATTATTACTTCATCATCAACTAATATATATTTAACATATGATTGTATATTTATTGAGCGATCGTTAATTATCTTATTAATTTATTAAGGCCTCAATATTATATTGTACGACACTTATTCAATACGTTATTCGATAAGGCCACATTTGAGTATTAATTGAAGAAAAAAATCGAGATTTAAGTGATAAAATTATTCATTAGATTAAGAAATAAAAATTTGACTGTCTCTTCCTGGTTAACAATTTTTTAGTTATGAATAATAATAATAATGCTAATATTTATTTATTGATTGACTAAGTTACTTTTATTTTCAATTATTACTTATTACTTATCATGTTATTTAATTTAACATCTAAATTAATTTAATCTTTAATTAACTAATAACTTAATTACATTAAACGATTGTTTTATATTAATAAACGTATTCAATTAAAAAATCGTTAGAATTACAAAAAAGAAAAATTTGTGATTTGGATATTTTTAAATAATTACAATAACAATATTAATGTATACAGTTAATTGATTTAATTACTCATGATAAATTAAATAATTGTAATGCTAAAAGTATAAGACTCTTTGGAGGTTGACTTTATGTATACGAGCCGTAATTGGTATTGTTCTCCTTTTATTACATAATTAATAATATTATTCAGTAACTTTCCCACTCGTTATTTTTTGACGTTTGGCTCCGGGAAGATTAAGGAAGATAGAGGTGGTGAGTAATTTCAGTAGATTGATAATTTAAAAATAACAAAAGAAAAATGAAAATAAATAAATAGAGAAATAGTCAAAAAAAAAAAAATATTTATAATTCTTGATTATTTAATTATAAATATTTTTTTTGTTTGCAATAAACAAATAATAATAATAATATTAAAAATACACTCGCTCTTTCTCACTAGCGTTATTTTATCAAATACCGCTTCGATTTCGCTTGCGCTTTCTCACTTAAATATCCTCAGTGCTCTCTCTATAACATAACATCTATCCTCTGTACTCTACACTAACTGTAGTCTAATAATAGATTTACTTAGACGGTTATTATTTCGTCAGAAATAATGTTTAATGTAATATATAATGTTTTAAGTTAGGCTTATGCCGCAGAGTTATATTTCATTATATTATTGTATTATATTATATTATATTATAAGTAGTTGTATAAATAGTAGTAGTATGGACTACTGGTGTCTATTGAAGTCGTGCCTCTTGGGGCGTCGTTTGGTAAGGCAATCCCGGGAAGGCTGCACCCGTCGTTGTTGCTCCTTGCAGTGCCGCTGCACCTGGTAATGTCGCGTACGTATAGGGTGTTACGTAGCTTGCGGCCGCTGCGTTCGCTGAAAAATTAAAAATATTCTGTTAATACAATCGATTAATTTTTTTTTTAATTTTTATTTAATATTTATATTTAATGATAAATATTAAATTTAGGAATGATAATTTCTTTTTATCAAACAGACGCGATTTACTAGCGGGTTGTTTTTTGATGATTTGGTGAATGTGTACACAGAAAAAATTAATTATTGATTATTAACTATTTTTTAATGCTGTTTATATAATTTTTAATTTTACGACTATTAAAAATTAATCAGTATATTTTATTAAAAAAAATTTTTTTCAATAAAATTTATAAAAAATTAATAGATAAAAAAATATAATAATTTTTCAACTTGAAAAAAATTAATTAATTCATCGCGTGAATTTTTTCCATGTACAAAAATGAATTCCCTCAGATTCTAATGACCTAGATGTTAAATCGCGTCTATCCCTACTTGCGTTTCATTAAAGACGTACCGGCCGCGGCAGCACTGGTATACGGGTAAGCGGCAGCCTCGGCGAAGTTGTACGACGACGTACCAGGATACGAAGCAGCCGCTGCTGCAGCGGCTGCAGCCGCCGCGGCATTCTGGTACTCGTAGAACTGCGATGCCGCGGCTACAGCTGCCGCGTGGCTCAATTGCGTCGTTGGTAATTGCATCAAGCCTCCAGGAGCCGCCGCCGTCAGGTAAGGCGACTGGTACATGTAACCTGGTGGTACTCTGAAAAATATTTACAAATAATTAGTACAGGTCTACAACTAATGGAAATTTATTTTATTAAAAAAAATTCATTATCAATTAATTTGTATTATTGATTCAAGTCAATAAACTACATCTCACTACGCAATTAAAGAAGTCTTAAATTAATTATAAATTATTTGTTTTTTTTTTAATTTTTTTAATTATACACAAAAGGCGCCGAGGGATACGGGAATTTTGTTATTTTTTTTAACTCATGCTCAAAGAATTACGAAGATTTAAAAAATGCATTTTTTTAATTAGAAGAATTTTTTTTTTTTGTATATATATTTTGTTACACAATGATTAAATTAAAATTTTTAAAGTCAAAATTTTTAGTCAAGTTGAAAGATTTTAAATAGAGAAATTTTAGTTTCAAAAAAATTTTATTCGGTTTAAAAAATTGAAATTCTTCCTCTTAAATCAAGTCAATTTTTCCATGAGCGTAGTTATCGATAATTTAGAGTCTGTATAACAATAAGTATTTCTTTAAACATTTGTTACTTGAAATTTTTTTTTTTAATTGTAATACACACATGTGAATTGATTTGACATCAAATTTCACACTTGCGTATCATATTTGTAATTATTTGTACTTAGTAAAAATACATCTTTTGTAAAAAAAAATCGAATAAAAATTTGTCAGTGAAGGACTGAGAGACTCATCGTCTTAATAAATAAATAATTAAATAATAGTAATGATAAAAAAAATTACTCGAACTTCCTTAAAAGAGACGATCAATAATTTATAATTTTTATCTGATTTTGTTGTCAATACTATTTATTGTACAATGTTATTATTTTACTTTTTGTACAGGATAGCCTGTCAAGTGTCGATTTCAGGGGCAATTTTTTTCACAAATTAACAAAAAAGTTTAAGACATAAAAAATGTAATAACAGTGGGACGGAAATATTCAGACATCCTGGACAGCCGTGAACTTTTTTTCTATTCACACGATCGATAATGCTCAGTGTCCAGTCGAGTCTGCTGAGAAATCAATATTTCCGGAGTCCTGTGGCCTCAATGTACGTAAACTACTCAAACTAATATAGCAAAACCGACCAACTGCCTTTTCATACGCGTTTATACAAGTATATGTATACATAATATATATAGTATGTAAGATCACGATCTGCCCCCTTTACTTTTATTTGAATCTCCAAATATATAACAATAATGAGTATACTAAACCGATGTACTGCCTACTGGCTTTCAAAATAATTTACGAGTGTTCTCTATCCGTTTTTGTTTATATTTTATACTCCTGGGTTTTGTTTACATTATCAGCAAACAATCCAACTGATATGAGTTAAGTGTCCACAATGACCAGCAATTTTTCGCGGTTTTATTTGTCTAACAGTTATTGTGATTGCAGCCCTCATTTCTTCTAATTTTTTTTTCATTTTACCAAACACCTGAATTAAAGGTTGCTTGAAAGAACGTACTAAACTAGTGTAATAAATTTTGATATTTTCATGGTATTCTAATAATAATATTAAAGTTTATTTTTTCCCATTGGAATTATCTATCGGGTAGATCTAAAATGCGGTCACTGTGCATTATGGATGAAAAAAATCGCGTGATACTATTGTTCAAGCTAGGGAATCCTCTATACAAAACTATACATGTAATAAAAAAAATAAAAAAGTAAGTTGAACGAAAATTAGTGTCTAAAAATGAAATTATAGAATGAAAGATTCAAGTAGAGTAAAAAAAAAAATTATCATCGATTAATTAGCCAAAAAATATTCAATTATAATTTAAATTCTCTTACTAATCTCATTTTTGTTGAGAGAAATTTGAACTAGGCCACAAAAAATCAACAACCTGAAAAGCTTCCATCAAGTATTTAAAAGTTAAGAGGTTAAAAAAAAATTATAATGACAGAGTTATAAAATATATGAAGAATACACAGAACTAGTTTACCAATATTTATATTATTTTAAATCATGATCAAGATACACTAATGGAAAATAATAATTTGAAATAATTGTTTTGTATATTAACGACTCATTTTTTTAATTTATGCTACACAAACGCCATCAGCTTTCAGTTAATTACAAAACTAAGCTCCGGTGTGACCCAATTCAAGAAAATATATTTTAAAATTATTTTTGTCAATTCATTAGTTTAGTACTGTGGGCTAAAAAAATCACATTTACTCTGAAATGTTTGTTTCAAACGCGATTGATATTTTGACTCACGGCTTGTTAATTTTAATAATTAAGTTGAATAGATAAACTCTAGTTGGAAATTTAAAATAAAATTTAACCTGTTGCTAAACAGTTAAATCAATGCCAAGTACAAGATTAAGAAATAGTTAATTAAGTGCATACATAATCAATTATCACGAAAAATATATATATATATATATATATATATTTTTCGTGATAATTGATTATGTATGCACTTAATTAACTATTTCTTAATCTTGTACTTGGCATTGATTTAACTGTTTAGCAACAGGTTAAATTTTATTTTAAATTTCCAACTAGAGTTTATCTATTCAACTTAATTATTAAAATTAACAAGCCGTGAGTCAAAATATCAATCGCGTTTGAAACAAACATTTCAGAGTAAATGTGATTTTTTTAGCCCACAGTACTAAACTAATGAATTATATATATATATATATTTATGTACGTGTATAATATTAAATAGGTTTTGGCGGTCACGAATAACAATAAACATAAGCTTGCGGCAAGTTCCGTGACGGAAGTAAGTAAGCACCCTCAATTTCCGACGCAAAGTGGCTCGTAGATTGCAATCGTACTCTGTTACCCTCTTTATACTTAGCACATCATCTAATGGGCATACACTAACTATTTTAGTACTGATGGCTTGCAAAAACATAAACACGTACACCCCCGACTAGTTTTACCGTTTACTGTCCGTTCATCTAGGACATCGATTATCTAACTCAATCTAAGTCATGAAGAAAATTAAAAATATTGAACACGGCGATGCATCATCACGACACGATAAATTAATTTTGCTAATGGCTCGAAACAGACCATTAGAAAAATTGTTATTGCTTATTAATTATTTGTTTTAAAATTAAGAATAAATGCATTGTATTTGCGGTGTGGTAATTGACGGGTGTAATTGCTGTGTATGCAGGACACGGGTGCATTAACGATTGAATACGTGAGTGCAGTGCGAGATTATACTGCCAATAAGTGAATTTCACCTTTGTTTTTCATCTGTTATCGTTATCACTGTTCGCGCCGGCGCCAAATTGATAATCCAATGGGATAATCTACCAATCCCGGCACTCGCTGGTGGCCAATGTCTTTTTACTTGGGCGTGGTGACATTTATTCAGGGGGTTAATTTAATCGGTAAATAAAAAAAAAATATTAAAATTGAAATATCAGTGTCTCGAAAATTAAAATAAAAATTTTATAATTTTGCACATAACACTCGTGGATTTAATTTCTGAGCTTAATAATTTCTTATTAACGGCCTGAATAAATTATTTTAGAATTTGAGTGACTGAAATAAATTACTCGAGAAAAAGAAAAAGACACGGAAATGCGTAGACAGGTGTTTTGTTATATTATTATATGTTAAAATAGACGTGATTTAATTTTCTTACGCACGACAATGATATAAACTTTGGATGATAATATTAATATTATAAGTGTCGGTATAAATATATTTTCATACTTATAAATATATGTAGTGGAGTGAAGTAGTTGAGTGAATAAAGCAAAATTCAGACCCTTAAATCTGTAAACGGGTATATAGTATTTATTATACATATGTATAAATATAATGGTAAGTGTACTGAGGGAAAAAACGTATCACATGTGGGCGGCAAATCTTAAACGCTGGGACTGGCGTCAACCCGACATGGTTGGACAGGTGGATCTAAATAAAGACTGGACCGACGCCAGCTACCAACATGGCCGATATACACAAGCCTCGTCGTTATCTCAGACGCGCGACGACAGGGAAGAAATAGAAAATAAAAAGTTTAGTTAAAAAATTAACATGTTTGTCGTTGTCACGAGTTCAGTGTTGGGTTTCGGGTTTAAATGTTTTTAGGCCTCTATAATGATAATAATAATATAAATATAAATAAACCGTTAGCGTTAAATAAAACATTTGTCGATGAATAAATCTAAACTAGAAATGTCTTTTTATTATCTGTCTGCGATACATACATACATGTTAAGTTATTTGTATGACCGAAATTGGGATTGAAAATTTAATTTTCTTTTAATTATTTAATACAAAAACTGATTAATTTTTTTGACAGTACGAATAAGAAAATAAAATTCATTTTATTTATTATTATCTCAATTAGTCATAAAATTTTACGTCTATTTATCGCATCTTTATTTTTGACCCTCCTTAACGATTACAAGTTTAATCTTCAATTTCTCAAGCGACTATTTTATTTAAATTTTAATTTTAAATGACGATAAAATATTTTTTATCAACGAAAATAATTATCATTACTACATACAATGTTGCTAAATTTATCTATCACACGATTTACGACCTTTACCATAAAATAGATAATTCCCTCAAAGAAACAAGAAAGTTCACTGATAAGGACGAGCATTATGAGGAGATCCATTAATTACGTGAGCTCAGAATGAGGGGGGAGGGGTCCAATGAAATCTCACCAAATCTCATCTAAGCCGAGGGAGGGATAATCAAAAATCTCACCTCAACTTCAAAAATTATAAAATATTACAGACATTAAAAAAAAAATTATTTTGAGTGTTTATTTTGCCCGCTAAAATAAATTTTATGTCTATTAAAATCATTTACGCTGATGATTTAAACAGGCTCATCTCAGAGCTAATGGTGGATTTCTTTAACATTATAATTATAATATAAATTATAATATGTATGTATAAAAAAAGTACATGAGTCTCCATGGATTGAGTAAAAATTAAAAAAAAGTGTTGTATCCCTGGTTAAAAATATTGATTGAAAATAAATTAACTATAGTATACTTGAATGGTTTATTATTCTCCCGAATAATAAAAATAATTTTAATTTAAAATATTTTTAGCGTCAATCTCACGTAAGGGATGGGGGGGGGGCCAGACAAATCTCACTAAATCTCACCTAAGGGGGGGGGGGGGAAGAGTCTAAACTGATCGAAAAATAGCTCACGTAATTAATGGATGTCCCCTATGGTCTATCTTTTATGTGCTATTACATTTTTATAGTATGTAAATACTCCATAAACATTAAGACTGAAGATATTAGCCCGGCACGTGAGATATAAATAAGTGAGGTGTTCGTCTAAATTGCATTCAGGACATGATAATTGCCTGATCGATGACAAGATCGGCGGATAAAACTCGTAAATTATTTTATTTTAATAAAAACAATATTACCCAGAGAGAAAAAATATCTCAAGGGACAGCAGAACTAGTTTATTTTCCTCGCATGTCTGCTGGAAAATAATAATGACTAACTCCAGGCAAAACCAATTACGTGTAATTATGACTATTATTTATTCATCCGTTACGACATTACTCAAAACGCCAGAGTCACTCAGTCCACACTGGTTTTTATTTTATGGTTTTAAATTATTGGTGGATAGTAGTCCAAGGCGCCGCGACACGGGTTAAAAAATAAAAATTACAACACCCACAAAAAATAATAATTATGATAATTAATTAATAATTAATAATAGTAATAATAATAATAAATAAAATAAAATAACGGAAACAAAGTGAGGAAAATCAAAAAAGATAAAAATTAAAATTAAAAAAAAAAAAAAAAAACAACAGTAAACACTAACAATCACACCAATAGCGACATCAAGTGTAGTTTAAGCTTTCTTCACACACGCAAAAGTTAATTATTTTTATATCGTCCAATTTTTTTAAAATTGTTAGAGAGAGCAAATCAATCCTTATTATTTATAATAAAATTTTTATCATTTTTTTGTAGAATTATTTGTAATTTTTTTTTAAATCTTTTATTTATGATACAGCTTGTCTAATCAAATCTTAACGAAGCTAAATTTGATCGTAAAAGCTGTTTTATAGATTAATAATATTGTAATTAATTATTAAAAAAAAAAATATTTAGTTTAAAAAGAATACTTTTTGAATTGATTAAAGAAAAACTTATATTATAGAGAAATATATTTACAAATGTGCAGCATTATTTTGAGAAAATTGATTGAGATATGCATAAATTTACAGTGACATTGACCGTGAAAAAAATTATCGCGATAGAAAAATAAATCTATAAAGTCAATTAAGCTTTAATCCGACTAGAAAAATTTTTGTTGCGTTGTGAATTGATGCCACCAGCGTGATTAAAGCTCGAAATAGTGTAGTTTGTATTTGTACTTGTTTATAAATTAAAAACTAGTACAACAAAAAAGCAATTTAATTGAAGGTATTTTGACATACAAGATAACGATAAAACTTAATTTCGCACCGAAAATATTTTGTTGTTGTTATTAAATAAAATATATTAATTATTATCATGAATGATGATTGTCGATTATTGTTGTATTAACATTCGATTAATAGTAACCACTACTTAAACGTTGATTACAAATAAAAAACCAAATCAGTAGGTAAAATATAGTAAAGATTAAAGTAAAAAACAATAAAATAAAAAAACAAAATAGAAACAATCGGTAACAAACAAAATTAAATTGTCAAATATCAAATCTCTCAATGGCAATCGCAACCAATCTTCACGTCAATAAAAAGAAGAGAGAATTAAAAAAAAAAACCACACCCCAACAAAATTGAGTTCATCCTCGTAAACAAAAAAAAAAATAACGTTTATTATTAGATAATAATGTGTATGTACTCATGATTACGGTCTCTCCCGCCCTCACGTATCGACAGAATTTTCGACTTTGCTCTCTCTCTCTCTCTCTCTCTCTTTTTCTTTTTGTTTATATTTTTCGTTTCATGATCGATATATTTTTTATCAATGAACGCGTCTTCTCAATTCTCCTCCTTTTCAACCCCTTTCCCTCTCACTCCTCGCAGTGCCTTCTTGCACCCTCGAGACGCTGAAATGTCATTTCATATTTTTGCTTTAAACAGAACAAGAAAACAAAACAAAATTTCCGTAAAATTAAGTTTTTAACGTTAAAATAAATAAATAAATTAATTAATAGATTAAAATAGTAAAATTAAAGTTGATTAATTAAAAAAATTATAACTTCGTTAGAGTTGATACCGATTTTCTGAGAGAGGTTTGCCGAAACAATTCCTTTTAATTTTTGTGTTGGTTATTTTTCAAAAAATAATGTTTTGAAAAAAAAATTATTGTAGGAGTAAAATTTTAGTTGAAAACAGTTTTTTAGTATCTTTAAACTTACCCATATTGGCTAGGTAGTACTGTAGGATATCCAGTTCTTATACCAGCGGCAAATGGAAATGCTGGAAAAAATTAAAAAAAAAAATTTATAAACATGAACCATAAAAAAAAAAAAAGTTAATAAAAATATTTTTGAAATAAAATCTTGTATAGTTTTATAAATAAATAAATATTTAAAAGCTTTATCAACATTAAAATGAAAGAAACTCTTTTAAATTATTTTTATTGTCTGCATCAACATAAAATTTGTAAAAATTTATAACCCGACTACAATTGTTTAACAAAAATAATTTAGACGAATATAATTTTGGGCAAATGACAAGGAGACATATAATCAGTTGAATTATTTTGGACGTTAAAGGCTATGCAGTAAAGGCAAATAAAAGTGATTTTGGCATTCGGCCACTATTTGCAACAGACCCGAGAATGTACGAATCAGTCGAGCAAATGACTCAGAAGACAGTCCGTCTAAATTCTCAACAAAAGTTTTTTTATTTTATTTATTTATTCACTAACTTTTTATTTCTTATTTTATTATTTTAACTCCTAATTTATACCAACGCTCTTTTATTTTTATACACTACTAGTATTCTCAAAAGTAAAAATTCATTTCATGGAGATTTCAATTCCACGCACCCTAAATTATTCTAAAAATATATTTTCAGTTAATTTAAAATCAAGTTAAGATATCTAAGTCAGAGACTATTAGTTTTAATTAAATATTAATTTATAACAATAAATCACTATAGTATTTTAATTGGATTATGATGATTAAACCAAATGATTTTGGCAGACTTTCAACACAGAGTGACATCAAAAATAATTTTAAAAATTACGTAAGTTCAACAGTTTGACGAAAACTTCCGACCCTTTGTTCAGTAAAAAATCAATACCCAAAAAATAAATTATTTCTTTCACTTCTCTCCCTATTTTCACCACTCGATTGCTCACAAGTTTTTAAATAAATAATTGACACCGCGTTTGATTTCGAGACGGCAGTTAATAAAAAAATCATGAATCCAACAAAATATACGATAAGAAAGTAAGTAAGTGAGTGAGCGAGGTAACGGGTATTGTTTCTCATATACTGATTATAAGCCGTTGATAATTCTACAGGTCGACTGCGACCTGCAGAGGCTAGTTGAATAAAAAGCCACGACTCTAATCTAACTATTATTGTATATCACTGTGATTACAAAACTACTTGGAATTAAATGAATTTTTTCCCAGTCTTAGTGAAGAGAGAAATTTTATACTATTTTTTTAGCGAATTACAGATGTCTTATTTGTTAAACTTACTGGTTTGGAGATTGCCACGTGGTTTGGCGCCCAGTATTGCTAAATTAACATTAGCTTTCCGGCCATCAATTATCGGGTTGGGATCCTTGCACGCTCTTTCGGCAGCTGGTCTGTCACCCATAATTACCTGTGATAAATTCGTTTGTTTATTAAATTTATTTATAAAGCACTTATTTTTAGTGTAAATACAAAAATTATCCACACAGATATTTATTTAATTAACAATCAACAGTTATTGGTTATTTTAATTTACTTTTACAAAACAACTAGTTGTCATCTGATCGTTTCTATTTTTACATATAAATCAGCCAATTATAAAGCAAAATTGAGGTGAAGTTTGCAATAACTACAGATTAGAAATTTAAAAATAATTTTTTCTATCGATAAAATATTTGACTACTTAATAAAAAAATTCAATGCACTAGCAAAAATTTTGACATACTTTTAGCTTACTTTTAACAAACTAGAATTCAAATTTACGCGCGCAAGCGCGCGTCTGACTATAGAGTTTGCATATATTTTCATGCTTATGATATATTGGACCAATCACGTTACGAATAGTTTGATGCCACATACATTTCATCTCAATTTTATATTAGGATTTATATTAGGATAAATGATTGTAACATTATTAATTAATAATAAAAAAAACTGTCAGATTTCCACTACTGTAATTTGTTTCAATAAAAAAATAATATTAAATATTTTTTTATTGATTTACTTTAAATAATTAACCTAAATTTTTAGGCATGAGAAATAATAATTTATGTAATTATATTCTTAAGCACATAAAAGGCCCAAACGTGTAATTAATAAGTAAAACAAAAAAAAGTAAATAGAGATCTTACAGCAAACGATAAAATTATAATATCAAATAGTAAAAATAATAAATAAAATGAGCAAACGAGAACTAGGAAGCGTAAAAAAAAATGTAAAAATAAATAAATAAAGTAAAACGTTAACCAAGACAGTGTAACGGCAAGCTAATACTTAATGATAAAAAAATAAAAAGTTTACTAGGACTAGAGAGACTAGATACTTAAAATAATAAGTAATAATTTTCTTTGGCAATGGAGTAATATAATAATGAATAAGTTTCACCGTTTTGCATACTCCATTTCCAACGAAACATTTGTCCCGGTACGGGAAAGTCTATAGCATAGCTGGATCATATAAATGAAACAGAGATAGACAAAAGTAAAGATAAAGACAGAAGAAGATGATAATAATATAAGTCGTGATTATTAAGTATAGACGGTGAAAATAAATAAAGTAGCAGAAATAAAAAACCACTGCACACTTACAAATCCATAGCCCCTACTTTTGCCGGTCTGTCTGTCTGTTATCACGACAGCTTCCTCGATGTCCCCGTAGACGTTGAAGTGCTCTCTAAGACTTTTATCGGTAGTGTGGTAGGGAAGTCCGCCGACGAATAATTTCGTCCATGTTGTGTCTTTCTGTTGGGGTGTTACACCCGCCAGAGCACCAAGACTCGTTACCAGCTCATCTTGACCAGTTGGTCCTGCAGCCACCGCGCTCAGACCCGTTGCACCTGGCATCAGCATTTTAACGGGCAATTACTTTTATCTTACTTCTTTTTTATCTAAATTCACTTCCTCTGCTCTGCCCTTTGTTTTTTTTATTGTTTTTTAAAAAGACTAGTCTACTTGAGCTCAATATATCACAGATGTCATCTGAGCAAAAAACTGTAACAAAAAAAAAAATAAAAAACAGTTGTTATTATTTCTCAACGCACAAGATGTTGGAAGACAATTATTATAAGGGTGTAGAGTGACAAGCTTCGTTTTATTTAAATGCAAATGCACTTTATTGTATTCTTATTCTTATATTTATATATTACATATAAATTTATTTGATAGCTAAAAACGGTTGATAGGAATAAAGAATAAAGAACTAAGGAGCAGAAGCCCGGTAGAGTAACCAGGTGTGTATCTGCTGTTTTCCCGGCGATTGGATGACCTGCTTCAACCGGTTGTCAGGCAGAAACCCCATACACATTACACATAAATATAAGTGTATGTTGTGCTTTATATCATATATATTTAACAAAACCAGTATTATATCGCAACTGTCTAAACACTAATAAAAGTAAACATTGAATTTCTTTTTTCTACAACTACTGATTTTATTTGACATGACATTGACCTAGTTCAGATAGCGCCCGAGGGCTGATACCGATTGCGATAGGTCTTGAATAAATAATACGCTTCTCTTGTCACTTTTCTTGCTAGAATTTTAGGTATTACCTGTTGAGGAATTAGAGCTTTTGATACTAGGTTACCGTGATATGATGGAATTCAACTAATAATTGCATTATAAATGAAGTAAGGTATCATTACTGTTATTAACTTCCGTACTAGTATAGTTATTATTACAGTTATTATATTTGATATAGTAATTTTATTTTAATAGAATTTTTATATTTTTCTTAAAGTTTTAAACTGTTAAAAATTTTCATTAAATTTATCATTATTATTACTATCATTGTACCAATTAAAAAAACCTTATGTAAAACAAAAATAAAAAAAAATATGGAGCATAGTTAAAATTATAAGTAATTTTTGTACAGAATTTTTGATAATTTATTTATAATTATAATTATTTTTTAAGAAAAGTTTTTATTGTTATTTAAAATTAACTGTGCTTCAAAATCAATTAATTATACTTTATTTAGATAAAAAACTATGATAATTAATTTAATAATTAATAAGAATCCTCTCGTGTTTTTTAATTCATAAAAATAATTCTATTTTTAAGAAATTAATTTCCGGTTGTTTTTATTTTATTTCGTTAATTTTTTCTTGTTTATGTACAATATTAATAATAATAATAATAATAATAATAATCAATTCGACATAAAAAATAAAATGAGAATAACAATTTAATAACAAAGTTCTAAAACTTAAATTTGATTTAATTAATTTTACATACAACCAAATTAACAATGACATTATTAAAAAAAGTAAAAAAATTTTTCTACCCCAAAAATAATCTAATAAATTTTTTAAATATTTCTGCATATAACATAAATATATATCCTGATAAATAACACCAGAACCAAGCCAGTTAAAATCCATAATATATAGTACGGTATAATCTGTAAAAATTTTATAAGCCAGCAGAACAGAAAAGTATAGGAGTACAGAGCACAAGCAGCACAAGTAAGCCAGCAGAGTGTTTCTGACAATGGGCAGCTGCTTCTGCTGCTGTTCGTTATACGAACCGGTGCCGCTGTACGACATTATTATGATTATTATTATTATTATTTTTATGACGATCATTGTATAGTACAGCGTACAGCATAGCACGTTCTGGCTGCAGCAGACAAAACTAACACAGTACTATAGCGCACCGTGGTGGCGGGAAAGCAGGTAATAAGCAAGTAAACTAAACCCAGAGGGTCGTACATCGTACATAACATACATACATACATACTTGCTATTATATACTACGTGTCGTATCGCCCAGGTTCCTCGGTAAATAGGGGGACTTAGGCTCCTTTTTCTAAACAAGTACATACCCAGCTAAGCAGTACCTTTACTCACACTTGATACACATGTGATGCCCAGACCCCCAAAATAATATATGATATCCATAGTACATACTACGTATTCCCAAAACCGGCACACCACTCTCCAAGCATATACATCACAATAACAGACTTTTACTTCATTTTGCCTGTAGCTAACAGCACCGGGTGAACTTTTATGTTAAATAGTTAATGTACGGGATGTCCATGTATGAGTAGGAAGGTCCCTATACTCTGTTTAATTCTGCTGATTGTAAATTATATATTATTATGTATGTAATGGTAAAAATACATAACAGATATGAGGATTTTTGTTTAAGAAGAAATTAAACAGTATTCCTTTAATACAAACACAGACATTCTGTGAATTTTATGTTAAATAAAAAAATTATTTTGTATTCATTTTTACAAAAATTTTTAATTTATTTTTTTATTATTAGTTGATATTTGTTTTATTTTTTTTTAAATTGAAAAGAAAAAACTCTTGATATTTTTTAAACTGAAATTTTATGAATCTATGCTATTTTTTTATAACTTTAATTTTATTAGTTGATATTTGTTGTATTTTTTTTAAATTGAAAAGAAAAAACTCTTGATATTTTTTAAAACTTAAATTTTATGAATCTATGCTATTTTTTTATAATTTTAATTTTATAAAAAAGTTATTTATTATTTTTTTGGTTTAATAAAAATTTGTTATTCTAATTAAAAACAATTATGAATATTAATTATTTATTACCGTTAGTAACATACTCCCTTTTCTATTAGGAAGATAACAATGATTTTAAATCATATTGACGATTAAAGTATTATATGAAAACAAACAATAAATAATTATTATTAAATAATCAATTAATTGATAGTAAAAAATTTGAGAAAAAATTTCTAGTTTTCTTGAATAAATAAATGAAATTAGATTTATAAAAACTGATAACTTAAAATTATTATTTATGAGTATTCGAATTTGTTAATTGATAATTAAATTATAAAGTTTGTAATTTTTTGTATAATTACAAAAAAATAAAACTAAATAAAAAATTAAAAAAAAAAAAAAATAAACACGTGGTAAATTTAAAAAATTACAATGATTAAAACCTTGTACATAAAGAATTTTTAATGGAGAAAAATTGTCAAATGTTCGTCAATTTTAATATTATAAATTTTTTCCTAAAATAATTAATCTCCTTTTAACAAGAACTCCAAATTGAAAATCAGATTAAAAAAAAACTGACAAATAAAATCTAAAAAGAGAAAAAGAGCGAGAGAGAGAAAGAGAGTTAAAACGTAGACGAACATATAATTCGAGTTTCAGGCTCAGGTTTATTAATAAACACCCAGCACGTGCCTACGACGCACAAGTTTGCGGGATATTGTGTGTAGATGTTAGAGTACACTTAACTCCCAGTGAGTGAAATCTGCACCAAAGATGCCTAAAAAAAAGTATCTCATTCCAATAAAATTAATTAAATATTAATGTTATGCCATGACAACATAAATATTATAAATTATAATGAATAGCAAGCAAGTTGACTTACCGATAAATAATATTTCGGAAAACTTAAATTCCAAGGACACTGATCCGTAGACGCACTGAAATAATCCTCAACTACGTTTCACACGCAATCACTCTACTCGAATATTTGGAATCTTGCACAGAACTGGCCTTACACTGGACGATCAAATGTAAAAAAAAAAAAAAAGAAAAACAACAACAATGAGTAGTTAGTTGTAAGTTGGAGAATAAAAATGCGTGATGTGTAATTCATTAAAAGCACGACTTAGATATTGTTAGTAACATGCGGCGTATTGTTTAAAGGGCGCGCGCGCACACACCCGTCACGGACAAAGATCCACGTGCGAATGACGATTCAAGAGCAGAGACTCGTAGACAGCTGCGACACGAATGTTGGTCCGTCAGACCGCGAAGCCTCCTGGGGTGCTGACGTCCATTGGCTGGCAATCGGGTCACGTGAGCTCCCCTACTACACTAAAACTAAAAGTTTAGTATACTTTAGACTACACTCTACCTAGAGAGACTCCCCTGCGCCCTCTACCCTCATCCTCTACCCTCTGGCTCCCAAACTAAACCCGATACGACTCCCTTGTCCCAACTCCCGAGTATCTCTCTTTGTTCTTCGGCATTCTCAGCTCTTACTTTTACTTAAAGTCTATGCTCCATTTATCATATATTCTATGTACTTACAGCTTCTATTCTTTTATAACTACTGCTTTGTATTACTCATTAGATCTTACGCTTCTTATTCGTAAATTCCATATTTTATTTTTTTGCAAACTGGCTCGTTACCTAAAATTTAAAGATAGCAACAAAATTTTTAAAAATCTTGTCAATATAGTACTTTCTGAAATTGGATAATTTTATCATTTTTTTTTTTTAATACACAGTAAAAAATTTTGCGTCATTGCGTTAAAAAATTTTGTGTTAAATATTTAACACTTTTATGTGTAAATTTAACATTTATTGTGTTAAAATAACAGAAAAAAGTGTTAAATATATACAAATTTTTTTGACGCATTGACGCAAAAAATTTTTTACTGTGTACTTAGTTATAGTTTGGAATGTCTAAAAGATTTTGACTTTACAGAAAAAAATCTATCAGTAGGTCTTTTTTCCAAAAAATAATAAATTAAAATAATTATTTGGAATGTCTTCGAAAAATTTTGACTCTATAGACAAAAATTAATCAATAAAACCTATGAGTAAGTCTTTTTCCAAAAGTAATAAATAAAAATGATAAGGTAAATATTTTATTACCAAAGAATGAATCTCGAAATGTTAATTTTTTTCCAATCTATCTAATCGATTAACCAACACTATTCTAAATAGGGTAAGAGTTTAAAAATTTTCATAAAACAGTAACTAATTCCCACATTTAATTCATTAAAACAGCGATAGTATTTAAATTACTACAAAAAGTGTTTTTAAAAATAGTTTTGTTATTTAATTATTTACTCTTTTTGTTCAATAAAATTAGCAATTGAACCTTATTGACTCTTAAAAATTTTTCAAACTAAATTTTTTTTTGTTCCTCACATACTTTATAAATATTTTCAATCAACAGTAAGCAAAAAATAAAATTCGAAATTATTATAAAAAATTCCACCAAAGTGTTAACTTTGAACAAAAAACAATAAAATGCATCCAAAATAAAATACTCCGATTTTAAATAAAATATCATAAGTGATGCTTTAAACTTCTTACGAGGTTTTGCTTTTAAATTCTAAGTTGATTTAATGCTCGCGTATGTGTCTTTAGGATACATTAGAGTACATAATGTACATTTGCTTTTATTAAATTATTTTTTTCCCGCGAACGCGGCTGTCCTCCGAAAGTAACGTAGCGCATCGGCAAGCTCTGGTCTCTGGTTTCCGTAGCTATTCTTGTATATCAAAACTTACATGATGTTCATGCATACCACACAAATGTCTCTTTTGTGTCTTCAGAAGCCAGATATTAAATCATCCAAAATAATTGCTGTAATCTTTAATAGTACAGTTATACACGCGCATTGATCTTTTTCGGGAGGAAAATATTACGATTGTTTACTTTCATCATTATCATTATCACTATATTAATTCTAAATAACATGTCTCGATAGATACTTGGGTTTATCTTTTCCGCGCTTTACTTACACTCGGGCTTTGTTATTACTAGGCATTGTTTGCTTAAATATAAAAAGATCGAGGTGGTCGATCGCTCAATGCAACGGCACATATACTGTACATATATTGTTGTTACCAGACATACGTGTATGTAGACGTATGCGATACGCTGGAACATCAGCTGGAACATGTTGGAATAATCGTTGAAGTCGATGGCAGCTGTTCGGAAGAGAGTCCTGTCTCCTTTTATTTTTTAGGCTTTTCATTTTTTTTCCATCCATTTAAACAAAATCTTTTGTTGTTGAATTTTTTCACCGCTAGTTAAACCTTCAATTTTTAAATTTATATTTTCGTCAGCTAATTTTACTACAATTAATTTATTTCATTATTACATACTTTTATTTAAAATGAATAAAACAGCAATAGTTTTTACTGTAAATAACTTTTGAATTGAAATTTTTCCAGGTTGACTCTCAATGTAAATTTATTTTTAGATTATTTTTCTCCTTCACGCTCCAGGAGATTTTTTTTTCATCCCAAATAAAAACAAAAATTCCATTTAATATAAGCGACAGTTTTTAAATTTACAATTTTAATTTTTTGTTTAATAGTAATAATTAATTTTTTATCAAGCACAAAAATTAATACTAAAAATTTTTTTTTAATTAAATTTATATTTAAATTTGATTATTGTTATAATTTTTTAGAGTAAATATCAAAAATAAAAATATTACGTCAATTAATAATTTTTGTAGAACATTTTCCTTTAAATCAGATAAAAATTTTAATAATAAACATTAAAGGAAAACTATACAACTGTTACATTACTTCAGAAAAATAAATGTTGGTATATGACAGCATGGTGTGGTTCACGGCGAGGCATGGTGTGGTTGGTATGGTATGGCATGGAAGGAAGAAGACCCCATAGGTTCGTGGCACGCGCTGCCAGCTGCCCCACAGCTGTCTTTTAAAAGCGACATTTTCTTTCTTTTTCTCTCCTTACAAAACATACACTCACGTATTATCGTATCCATACAACACATACATACAAAAACAGCTTACCCCTCATGCTTGTACTCAGCTTGTACTCAGCAGTTTCCAGGCTAAGCCACTCGGCTCTCTGCTTCTTCATATCACGTTTACTTCAGATCACATCCTATCCCATACCCAAACTAAGCCCATACTGTCCCAGATCACAGAGAAACTCAAACCAGAGTCTAATATAAGTACTTTACTCCTGTATGCTGCATCAGACCATCGCGTCCCTCTTTTACTACATTTACAATAATCACATCCACGTCCCTACGAAAGAAACGCAACAATAAGCTCCATACTCACGAACACGGGCCAGACTTTTATTTTCATTTATATAAACGCAACGCACATTTTATTTATCCAGATACAAATCGGATAGGAGGTCATTTCCCACGTGTGCCTGACAATAGGGAAAACTACTACCCGTGGACTAAAGAATTGACAAAATTTCACTCGAGCCTATCGTTAATGTTTACAATACGGAAATCAATAACAAAATGTAATATATCAATGGAAAGTCATTCGTGCTTAAATGAGTCGATAACTTTTATAAATTACGTCATAAGTTTAATATTTGGATTTCTGATTAATTTTATTTTGTAGTTGGATTATTAATTATTATTATTATATAAATTGATTTTAATCTATTGAAGTTTTTAAATATTTAATTTAATAATTTACTGTTTTATTAAAAATTTTCCTCATTAAAAATACATTTCAATTTACCAAAAATTTTAATTTGCAATGCTTGAATAATTTAAATTACATAAAACAGAATTTATGGAAAAAGTGGGACAGTGTGCAGCTGAATTATTAATTTAAAAAAAATGTTTTTCTCTTGAAATTTAAGTCGGGCTTTTTTCCCGTTCTTTGTCAAAAATTATGCGAATAAAAAAAATAAAAGATTAAATATTTTGTCTTGTTTACCTTTTGAATAAATCCAATTATTAACAATTATTTATTAAGAGGTAATCAATTGGGTCTAATAAATTATTTTTAATGATTAAAATAAATATTTATTAAATTATTGAATGGTAAAAAATCATTTATTAAAAGTTAATAAGGCTTATTAAATAATAATCCCAACTCTCCAATTAATTTTATTATGATTATCAATTATCAATGAAGAAATATTTTTGTATTCAATTTATAGTAATAAATAGATATAATTACCTATGTACATTAATAATTTGGTGTCAACGATTAAAAATCGAGGATATTTCAAAAAATTGTAAAACATCCTGGCGATGGCATTGAATTTGCGGTTTCTCGTCCGGTTTTATTTTGACGTAATATATGTAGACGTGATAGTTTGTAAGTAAAAAATTAACTGGTACGGATACAAAATATATAACAGCCGGAAATATTCTTGTTTCGTAAGTGTTAAAGTACCAGTACCAGTACGATCTCGGGCTATTGGGTTTCTGCTCGGGCTTTAGGATACACCGGTGACAAAAAGAAGACAAAGCTCAACATCTACTCGTTGATACACTGAATAAATGTGTGTATTAAGCATAAAGAGTGAGAGTAGTACCTATACTACACTGTACATAACAGTAAAGAGGGTAAAAACATGTTGCATGTATCAGCAAAGCGGACAGAAGGTGGTGTAAGTGGAAAAAAGGATGAAGGAAGATAAAAAGCGCAAACGACGTCGCACTACCGTAAGGGCCGGAAATCCGAGGGCGTCAACCCCTACTTGTCATTCTTTTCCTCACTCTCTTACTTTGTTATTTTTATTTACATACTTTATATTACAGTAGATTGATTTTTTGAGTGATTCCGTTTTTTTTGGACAATAATTGTTTTTACTTTCGTTTTTTTACAACTTCTTCTGCTCAAATACTCACAAATTAAATTATTTAATTTTTCCCAATGATTCTTTGACACAGTAAATAGAAAATAAAAATTTTTTAATAAAAAAATCAGATTTTTAAACGAAAACTCGAGTAATTTACGTGGATATTGACGTGAAGGTTATAGAGATTTTGGACAAGTCAGACATTTGGTGTCTGGTCGGGACTATACGCGATGAGTTGTATATACAAATGTGTATGTATGAACCGAGTTAGAGACAGTATTCTGTAAATAGATGAGCTCGGGTTCCCCCAATCTGGTCTTAAAATAAAATTTACTTTTCCATAGAATCACAAGTTACTCGTATTTACTATATTGCTGACAGATGATATCAGTCATTAGACAAAATGACAAAATTAAGTTTCATTTGCGTATTTATATGCCATACATTCATTTTTTTATAATCAGTAAATGGTTATTTTAAAATAGAAATTAAAAAACAAATTTATACTTAAATACTATTTATTTTTATTGATACCGTAACTTGATAAATGCTGCTCAATTTTTATAAGCCATCTATTATTTAGGTACTGTATTTTCATAGTACATCTGTGCAATCTACTCACACAATTGTGTCAATAAAAATACGTAGTTACATTATAAAGTTTACTGTTCTTTTAAATTTAAGTTTTTTTTAGTACATGCCTAAATTCGATTAAATTAAATTATTGTACTCAAAAATGATAAATAATTTTAAAAGATTGGTAAATTCAAGCATGTCTTTATAATCATTAGTTAACAAAGTTAAACAATGCAAAAAAATATTTATTTATAAAAGCAAAAATGATTAAAATAATGTTTATACTAGTTTACTTGGCCGAAAGATATTTGTTTTCGGTATGGTTTTACTGGAAACTTTGAATGCCCTTGCATGAGGTGGATAGACGGGCCAGTTTTCGGCGGTTGGTGACGGAAAAAAATCTGTTGGAGAGTGATTTTCTGGAGCTCCATAATATGGCTCAGAATGATAGTAGTTTGGATTAAATACTTCATGTTCATGAGGATGGGTTTGCGCAAATCCATGATCATGAAGATGATTTTGTGCAAATAAATGATCATGGCCATACCCATTGATATTTCCATGATCAAAAATACTTGGCGGTGGGCCATAGTGAATTTCATTGTGAGGATGCCCATATTCAGTTGATGGAAATCCATTTATTAAATTTACATTATGTATGGGCTGTGGATTACCACCATGATATTCCGGCTTAGAAGATGTAATAATTGGTGACTCCGTAGTTGATATTGGAGTTGGAGCTGTGACAGGACTATTCGTGCTGGTATTTTCAGTTTGATTTTGTTCGTTCGTCGCTGTGATATTTGTATTGTTCTTAGTGGCTCGAATATTCACTACTTGCCTTTGTTCTAAATCTTTCTGGAAAAATTTTATTTTTCTGAACATGAACGGATAAATATAATTATATAATAAACCATTTGGCTTAATAATTATTAGTTTATATAAAATAACCAGACAGTAATTTTATGAAATCAAAAATTTTTCCCTTTTTAAAATTGGGATGTTTCTTTAATAATGATTCTTTATCTAAGTATATGACTAATGATAAAATCTAGGACAAAATAATTGATGGGAAAATAACAAAAAAAAAAAAAAAAAAAAATACAATGAAATGACAGAATATTAATTTATCTTCTTATATCAAATAGATTTTAGTTCAAGACAACTATGACTTGGCAATATATCAATTTGATATTTTGGAAAATCATATTATCGAATTTTATAGTCCGACGTTTATTTGGCTTTGATGTTTAGATAAAGTATACCGAGAATTTTAGTGTCCAATTATTCGACTAGCAATTTATTTATCACTTTATTCTAAAAGTATTACACGTAATACGAATATGCTTAAAAGTTTAAAATCAGTATATAAGAACGCTGTGACCTACTTTAATTAAAAATATATATATATATATATATATATATATATATATATAAGTCAATTTGGCGTTAAAAAATTATAATAAAAGCAACATGTAAAATTTATTAGCTTTCTTTTCATAATAAAAAATCAAAATTTCATCAGATAAAGATTAAAAATGAAAATTAATCAAAAATTATCCAATCAAAAGTAAAAATTAAAATAACAAAAACTTACGTTTATCTCTTCAATGGATTCTTTAATGACATCTTTTAAAATAGTCCGATCGACGACACCAAAGTGACTTCCATCATCTTTGCTTACAATTTTAACGTTGGAAGTCTCCTCGGCACTGTTGTTAATTTCGTCGTTTAAATTTTTGACAGTTACTCTGGTTGGCTCTTTAGAAGTTTCCCTGTTCGCCAACTGATTCTTCAAGTTTTCCAGCAAGCTGTAAATCGAGCGAAGCGAATGATCAAACAGACTTGTCGAAAGTGCAAAGTATGGATAATTTGCGTCGTAAGGATTCAAAGAATGCGGTGGCATAGAAATTTGAGGTCTCGGCAAACTTTGATTTGTATCCATGAACATGTTCATTGGTCGTGAGTTTCGTCGTGACAGCGGTTCTGAATTTGGTGATAACATCGGCGGAGATGAGGATAATGCTGCTGAACTTGCTAAGCTCCCGATTCCCAAACCGGTAAGAAATGATGGAGAGTAAAAAAATTTTCCATGGCGATTTTGGCCGATTGGCTTTATTGCTCCTACTGTCATTGATTGTTTGACGCTGATTGGTGATGAGAAATTTACTTTAGGTTGAAATGATGGAGCAGTAAGTTGTAAATTTTTTAGTGTCAACGGATTATCGAGTGACTTTGAGTCAATTTCTGAAAATATAATTTTATAAATTCAATTATTAGCAATGATTTATTTATAAAAATAACTTACGGATGAATTGTACACTGAGAATTGTTGGAATAATTATTTGCAGGAGCGACATTTTTAGGTGATTAAACAATTGTTTCGAATGTGAAACTGAGAGAATTTCAGGTGAACAAGCAGACAAAGTCTCTTGCAAACATGCGGGTTATTATAAGTCCCCCATTATTTTAGATGAAAGTTTGTGTTCTACTGATAAGAAATAAAAAAAGGAAATATTAATAAAAAATTTTAGTGGGTCATTAGAACAGAGAATATTTCCTGAAGATAAAGTAATTTAATAGAATGGGTAATTTTTATTCATATCTTCTTTAACGTGTATTAACTATTTTCTCTTTTCTATCATAAATAATCACCTGATGATTTGTCATCATCACGTCATCAGTAATTCGATTATTGTTTTCCATTAAATTTAATAATCCGTCCGAATATTTTAATTGTTAATATTTGTTGAATGCAATAAAACAAAATCTTAAGTATAATAACTGGATAAAACATCATGTGAATAAATTAATAACTTTTCATTTATTTTCATAATTTTTATTCACCTCAGAGTAAAATAGATTGACAAATTACAAAAATCTAATTCTGACAACATAATCTATTAAAATTATAATTCAGTATTATTCTTAGAAAAGTCAATTGAATCATCATGAAAGTTAAACAATTATTTACTGCTCATTAACCTATCATTACTTTCTTTTAAGTAATAACAAAAATAACGATTTTGTCAAGCGATATTGAAACATTATAATATAATTGAAAAGCTTAATTTTTCATGCATTTATACCATAAAATCTTGTTTATACCATAAATTCTAAGAAAAAACAAGAAAATTTGCGTTAAAAAAATCAAAATATTAATCACTCATTCCATACTAAATGCGATAAAATTAATTCTCCAATTTAAAGTCGAAAAAATCTAAATTAATATTAAAATCACTCAGCATATAGCTTCTAGGATGTATTTTTCTACGACCTGTTTCAATTTATCGACAGTCCTTGGCTCCACTTTGTTGATTATTTCCTTGATCGATGCACTTTTCTTTTGAACTTTCTTTTTTAAAATAAAGAAAATATTTAATTACTCAAATAAGTACTAAAAAAAAATACAAAAATTTTAAATTATAGTTTAATTGACCTTTTTCAGCTGCTTGCGTTTTTTGATCAGCGCCTGGTAACTATTCTGCTGTTTCATTTGAATATCAATAGATGCCTGTGAATTTTTCATAGACATTTCTGGATTCAGGAGTGAATACATAGTCTCATTATTGTTGCGAAAAATGCTATCCATGTTCTTGAAAGCTTCATTTAATTTTATGAAACTTATATTATACTTGCCAATTAATTGATAAAGTTGATCGGTTTTCATATAGACTTCTGTGAGATCCTTGTCATTATTATCTATACATAATTAAATATTTTATTAACTGTATTTAATACAGGAATAGGTATTTAATGAAAATAAAATTTTACCTGGCAAAAAATAATCCATATTATAGGCAATACATATGAGTAGATGTTTGCAAGTTAAGGCGTATTCACGGCTGATTTTACACCACAAAATCGACAGAGATCGGTCTATCAATTTCTGTTGTCCTCTCGAGTATTTTTGGATTATCTCATTGTCATTATTAATTCTTTCCACACAAGATTGATGCTCTACTATACCCCGAAATGAAACAAAAAAAAAAAAGAAAAAAATAAATAAAATTAAGTAATTAATTTCGGTATCAGAAAAAATTATAAAAACTTACATGTAGCATTTTTAGATCTCTTCAAAGTACTTGGCATCATAATTTCATTTACTTTATTCCAATGATTTCTTTCGATTTCCATATGAGAATCAACCAAATTACACTGCTGGTCTACATGCTCAGGTATCTTATCAAGTAATTTGGAGCATATTAAAATATTCCGTACCTCATCAAACAATTTTTTATTCGGATGATTGTCTTGCAACACATGAAGTTCAATTGTTGCTCCTACTTTCTCAAAAATTTCCCCATAACTACCCTCACCATTGGGATTAACACTCACACGAGATCGGTAGTATGAAGTACTAGGTATCTGCTGGTCACTGTGAATCGAAATTGTGTCCAATTCACCAATAATTGCATCAATATTATTGGCTTCATGTTCTGCCGAGCTTGATGAGCTTGGTGAAGTTACGTCACTTTTATCGAGAGATGTTGACTTTTTTTTGTTATTTTTAAAAATTTTCATCGACGTACCAGATTTTTTACTTGTGTTATCCATTTTTATAAATATAAAGATAAATAATAATAAATAACAAGAAATTGTGTTGTTAAAGTCAGGATAATTATTTAGAGGCTATCGGTGCAACGACTCCAATAAAACTGAGTAATATTTTAGTTTTGCAGAGATATATAGTTATGTTGATTATTAATGAGGTAGTTAATTTTGTATAGTTTCTTCCCAAATAATACAAGCTTAGAACTTAAGACAACGACTATTGTAAATATTTACATTGAGATTGTTAGAAAGGTCTAGAGCCTGATAATTTTTTCTAGAATTTGAAAAGTACTAATAGTTATAATTATTACCGTGTAAATACATAGATAGATTATTTTCATCAAATATTTTGAATATATAGTCCCTATTATAAAGTTTAATAGTTTTACAATCTAAATTCCAATATAAATAATTGTTATTATTTATCATAGAGTAAATAGATTGAACAATACATGTGTATGTTAATTACTTTCGTGCAAAAATATTTATTGTACACTGAAAAAAAATTAACTTGATTCAATTAAATTTTATTTGATTTAAAAATTTTTTATCTTGATTCAATTTAATATTTTTTTTAGGGTATAAAATTACACACACGTTAATAAATATTCACTAAAATTATAATATATGACTATGATATGAATAGTTGATTTAATTAATTATAATTTTTTATTTTGTTTACTTCTTGTTAGTATCTGTAAAGTTAATATTTTCTAAAGTAATATAAATTTATGTTTTATCATAAAAAAAAAAAAACCTTATTTAATGCATCATATCAGATTAAAGAAATTTTAAATTAAAGAATCTGAAAATAATCGACCCTCTTTGACAAAACTAATTTAATAAATTAGTTTTATAACATAAATTTGAATTTTGAGATAAATGTTTATTATAAAATGATGAAACTTAATATTAAACTATCACCTGAAAATAATAGTAAATAATAAATTTCGGTCTTAAAAGTCGTGGTTTATAATTTGTTCAAATCTTCAATTTGATTTTGAATCAGTTCTATTTTCGTCTCGTAATCCTTAGAAAAACAAAAAAAAATTAATACACTAATTTTATATTTTTGTGATTATTTAAGAATAATTTAAAAGTACCAGATTATTAATCCGAAGGTATGATAAGAAAACGCCTCTGTGGGTGCGTTGTTTTTGAAATTTTCTCAATCTGTTGTAAATCAAGTTATAACAATCGTGTAAGATCAAAAGCAGTTTATGAGCTTCATTGATGCGAAGTTTTATTCGAATCGCTTCAGGATTTTGACCCTTTTTTTTTGCTAAAACATAGTCACAGAGATCCTTGGATGTTGCTTCTATAAGTATATCCGCGACATAAGAATAATCAGAGCCCATAAAAGCCCAGTACAGTGGATCTGGATCAGTTTCATCATATAATTTTTTATCTTTGTGAATGAATTGCAATAAGCGTTGGTGTAATTGCTCATAATCATGTTCATCAGATCGTTGTTGTATTGGTTGTTGTTTGCAAAGTGATTTTTTTTTATCTGGTTCATTATTTGTAGCATTCCCAATTAAAAAAATTAATATATTATTTACATTTTTTAATGAAATTTTTCTTTTTAAAAAATTAATAAGAATACTTTAATTTTGTACTATATTAATAGATTATTTTGATAATTTTGTTATTTTTTACGATAATTTTGAAAACTTATAGATCAATAAAATAATATTTATACAATTTACCTTTTTTTAGTAAAGCTGTTTGTACTCCCTCAATATTATCCTCGACTTTGTTGCTGTCGCCAACTTGGTAAACTTCATCCTCTGTATATTGTTTTGATGTGCTTGGTTGTGTACAAGTTTTATTATAATTATTATCATCACCAATTTTTTTATTAGAAACGATTAATTCGACGATATTCTCCATAGTTAACTTTTCGTCTTCGTTTGAAGACTCTTCATCTACCGATGTTATTTTATTATAAAATTCGATGTACTTTTTCGCAACTTCAGAATTTGATGCACCAAAACAACATTCTTGCTTACTCATGTCTACTTCTGCTCTGATATTTCGTAGTAACAAGATCCTTCGTCGACTACCAAAACAAAACTGGACTAAGTAATTTAATTGCTTTAATAATTTCGCGATTATAACGATACAAGTTAATAAGTGACGTCAAGCCAACCTTTCCTTCACTATTAATATAATAATTGTATTGTTTACAATCAGCTTCAATTCAACCTGTCCAATACATACTTCGAAAATGTTCAGAGCTTTTAACGGTGTATTCAAATCATACTTATTGTCCTTTTAATAAATTATTAATAAAGTTTATTGTTTATCTGAAAACAAAGGATTTGATTAAGATGACGCAATGAAAAATAATTTTTACTCAGTTTTTTTTTCTTTATTTTTTCATAGCAATCATTTTAATAAGGAGAAAAAAAATTTCATATTATAAAATTAGTAGTCACCTAACATTGATTTTTGTTAATAAATTAATTTCAACTGAGCCAAATATTTAATCATACCGACAATTTATCATTTTTGTCGGATAAAAAATAATTTAATTAATTAAAAAAAAAAAAAAAAAAAACATTTTTACATTAATGTAATATTTTTAAATCAACATGTTTCTAATTTATAACATAGATAGCAGCACTTGCCGGCGCTTAACTTATTCAACTTGATTATGATACTCCGAACAGTCGATAAATACAATGAATTCATGAATTCGTTTATTGTTACCGACAAAATATAAGTAATAATCACAATCACTGTTACATAAGGAAACTTTTGTTTATAACAAAGATAAACGAAACTGTTGTCATGGATACAGTTTATCAACAATACTTATAATAGCTTCTTACATATTATTACTACATATTTTATTGTGTTTTTAATAATATTAACAATGGATTGGAGTAATGATCATGAAACCAATACAAAAAAAGTAAGTTAATCTGTTTACAGTAATAAAAAAAAATATTAATTATTTTTGTAAATGTGAAATTTATAGACTGTTGATTTTTAAAAATTTCAAGTTGATTTTTCCATCTGTAATTTTTTTTTCAATACATATTTTCTTAATAATTCTGTGAAAAATAATTAATATTGACATTAATTTTGTTGGTAAAAAGAATTATTTACAGCAATTCATTCCACGGCTTGGCAGAAGAGCTGGACATAACGCAATACCAGAAGAACCTAAATTTGATAAAGACACTGATAGTCCTGTTTTAGCCATACCATCTGCGACGTCTGTAAGAACTGCACCAGTAGCACCCCCACGAACACGAAAAACTGGATGGAGTGATGAATCAAAATCCAACAAGTATGTACAATACTTATTTTACCAAAATACAAATAGAAAAATTATTTTTTATAAAGTAAATTGTTATTGGATTATTAATTTTATAAAATTTTTCTAGGAGTAAGCCAGTGAATATATTTGATCAGTAAGTATGAATTTATTTGTATAGTTACTAATTGAAACTACATCGATATCAAAATGAAATAAAAAAATATTCTTTCTAGGGAGAAATTACACAGAGACAATAACAACGAAAGTGACGGTAATTTTTATTATAATATTCAATCTTGTCAATTTTTTTAAACTAATAATTGAAAAAATATTCTTTAAAGATATTCCTGTAATTCCGGATATTGAAGAAATCCAAGATGAAAGTATTTCTAATATATCAAATGCTCCATCGTAAGTTTTTTGTCTTATTATTAATTTACTGAGTATATAATTGAATTATTTACTGTTGCTTATAATTTTATTTTGTTCACTGAATCAGCGTTGGAATAAATAGAGTTACTGCCTACAAAGAGCTGGATTCGGATCTCTTGAAAAACGCAACATTCGCATTGTTAGACAATGTTAATTTGTCTATTCTTACGGAAAAATTATATCCTGAAAAATTAATTAAGGAAACTGATGACGTGTGGAATTGGGAATATTTATTCGCTCAGGTATCTTCGGAGCTCAACAATGAAGAACAAAAAATAATTATGGAAGCTTAATAATTTAAAAATAAATTTTCAACAACATAATATTAATAACTATCTAACAAAATTTTTATATCAATTTACTTTTATTTTTAGTTAAATAATAAATAATTTTAAAAAGTTTTCAACTCTTATATCTAAAAATAAGTTTACTGATTCAGAATTTATTTATTTATTCGTTTAAAAACAGTAAAAATAATTTGTAAAATAAAATATGATACTGAAATTAATAGATATAATTTTTTATTCTAACAAATAATTACAGATAAAAATTGATGAAAAAAATTCCCACAAGAAATCATTTAAAAAAATTTTGAATGCAACTTTTTTTTCTTTCAATTATTACTAATTTATGTGTTAGATACTTAGTAGTAAAAATAAAATATTCACTATCATAACATAAAACAAAAAAAAACATGGCATACTGCGAAACTGCAGTGCCTGTATATGGAAGCGACATATTACCTCGTCTGACCTATTCGATTGCCCCCCAAATTTGGAAATCGCGGTAGTTCGAGGAGCGACGTGAAGACTCTACCGTGCAGGCGTGCAAGTTCGTAGGCGTCTCCATGGGAGACGGATACGGAGTTACACGCGCAATCGGGAGCCGAACACAAGCTACTTGAAGCGACCACGTGACAACACCCACTGAGCAGATCTGCCATATAGCTATACCTTAGCGATCAATGTTCAGCTGTGCCATCACTAGCACACACTTCCAACTGAGACTAAGTGTAAATTTGTATATATTCAATCTACCTTAGTAACGAGCGCTTGCGAGAAGTTTTTCGTAAGTTTATGGCATAAGCCATCTGGATTCTTGTTGTGACACTTCTAAAAAGATTTCTATTAGAGCAATCGGCGGTATATAATCGACAGTCAGCTGTGGTAATGAAAATTTTTAATCCCACGTGCGCATTACGCGGCTCTTCTTTACCGCTCCCGGTCCCGCGACCGTTCGAGTGTAAAAACGCGAATTTAAAAATACTGGTTAAGTTTTTTATTTTGTTTTTTTTTTTTTTTTCTCACACAATTAATTGTTTATTTTTATTTTATAATTTACTACACAAAAAAAAACTTGGTTCAAATAAATTGTTTTCTCCATAATACACCACTCTTGCTTCAAAATCTTTCAACTTTTCAATTCAATTAAAGAAAAATTCAATCTTGAATCAATTAATTATAACTCTTAAATGGAGAATTATTATTCTCTATTTCAAAATTTTGATTTTAAAAGAATAGAAACATTTTTTTCTTTAAAACAAGATGCATACTTATATATAAAAAATATATTTCTCCCAAGTATTTTTTCTTTCGATTTGAGGTCGGTACTATTAATTTAGGATCATACCGTCTTCGCTAATATACAAATATATAAAAATATATTTTTTAAAATTATTAATCAATTTATTTCTACAATAGTCATCCATATTAATATCTAATTTAGAAGTTTAATGAATATTTTTTTTTAGAAAAAATTGTTTATGCGAATAATTTGAATATTATTATTTTCTTTAATGACCACATAATAATAATTTATTACTAGAAAATACAGATATTTGAAAAATACATATTAAATAGTATACATTAACAAATATTTGTCCTATAGAGATGATTTCCACCTGTACATAGGACTGGCATAGTAATTTATATCCATGATGTCAAAATTAATAGCATAACAATTTGAACAATTATATTTGAAACTTAAGAACTAATTAATTTAATTTATTCTGTAGTTTGTTTTAACCATTTAGTTATTTTATTTATTATTTAATTTTAATTCTGGCACATTCTATAGTGGTGCAGGACACCTGTGCATAGAACCAGAATATATAAAAATATAATTTGAGTTAAGTTTGAGAATACACTTATGTTTAAAATTTAGTTTTCAACTTAATAGGTTTTTTGGAGCCGCATAACATTTTTAAATTGTTTGGTAGCCTATTGTAAAATTTCATAGTAACATTTTCAATAATAAAAAATTTAAGGGTACCCAGTAAATAAAGATTGACAATTAAATACATTTATGTTTTTGTTTTCCATGAATCATCAATCCTTATCATTCCTATTACACGTGTAACCTTGTCAATGTTCTGATCAACTAATCTCAAAGTTGTTTCTAAATCCTATGGAAGAAAAAACCAAAGAAATAGTTAGTTAATATAATTTGTCATTAGTTATTATCCATATTAAAAATAAAATAATTGATTCAATGCAATTTTTAGACCTTAATAGATAAGACAATAAATCGAAAGCTCAGATAACAATTGGAGTTTTGTCTAAGAAGGATAGTAAAGGTAAAATGAATACGTTGCAAGCATTGACTAACTATCTTCATCACTTCATATGATTCAAGTATACGGCATTCTGTTCTTACTGCTTCATCATTTTTATGTCCATTGATAACTAAAATTTATCATCAGTGAATAATAAATCAGTTTTTTAAAATTTTTTTTTTCTTTTCAGAATGTTCTTAGACCAAGAATAATTTCTTAGCTCAAGAATTTATTCTCTTGACTCAAGAAAATCATTTTCTTCAAAATGGTATTCTTGGTTCAAGAATTTGAGTCAAATCAATTTTTTTATAAGTGTATAAAGCTCGGTACTTTGAAATGGAACGCCCCACATACATACCTTGAAGCGAAAAAAAATACCGAAGGTCAGTCTGTACAACTATTACCAAGAGTTTAAAAACCAATAAGTAACTCGTACTAAGCTGATACCAACAGTGATAATTTGATTCATTCTGATCGCGCATTCTTTTCTCTGAATTCATTGACAACCATAAGTATTCCCGAAGATGGTTATAATCCTTCTCATTCTGTAATTGCTGCTGTATTTTATTTACGATTTGTACGACTTTTGCGAAATTACCTGTCGAGATAAATAATTGAATTAATTGTTATTGCATCAAAACTTAATCCAAAAGTTCTTGTTACAAAAGTTCACAATTTTACTGACAATAAAATACTTCATTAAAAAAAAAAATGTAGATAAATTCTACCTTTCCCTAATTGAAGGTCTGATTTTTCAGTATTCAATTTATCATCCATAATGGTTTGTTTTTTTTTTATAAAGTGTTTATAAATGATATTGACTTTCCAAATAATCACTCTTTATTACTTTAACTCCTTTCACACTGACTGCCAAACTCAAACTGGATTAAACTTTTATTTTACTCTCCCTTATATCGGAAACAAGAATAAATATATTCGATGTGTGACGCCAATTCAGATATATATATATATATTGTAATTGTCTCTCTCAATTAGTATTGATTATTTACCAATTATGTATCAATTATGATTAATTTAATTTACCGTTATCGTTATTATTATTCCGAAACCGTCCAATTTACTGTCTTTTAATTAATATACAGAGACGTAACATAAAGGTGGTGTATAGGTAATCCAAAATTCATATTACCATGTTAAAAAACAAATAGTTATTTTAATGATTATGTTTTATATTTTCGAACAACATTTTAAGGACCACTCAAATCATTAACCTTTCTGCATACATCTCTCGAAGGTTGTAACATTATATCGAAATAGGAGCTTTTTACGCTCGTTATGATACTGCATGAATAATCTTCTATCTGTTGATCAATATACAGCATAAATAAAATAACTTTCATTTTTAATTATTTTCAAAGTTTCAAAGTAGGGTAAAGCTACAAAAAAATGTTTAATTTCCCGCTAAAAAATCAATGATTTAAAAAAGTCGGGACTTTATTGGCTACCTGGTTTTCGAAAATGGATTTCTCATCAGATCTTCACGATCTATCAATTTAATTTTTAGATTTCAACGAAAACTGTTACTCTACAGTTTCTAAAATAGTTTAAAGAATTTTTCAATAACCTCCTGTTCCGAAGCTATTAATAATGAAATGTTGTTTATAGATTAACATACTAGAATATCGAAAGGTTTGTAGAAGTTTATGATAAATAATTACGTTTTTATATAATTTTTGTCCATAATGGATAATTCAGAAGCTTTAAAAATGGTCAAATGTTATAAATTTAAATTGATTCTGTTGTAGTAAATTATTTCCATCGCGAATGATGTCGGATAGTGTTTCCTTCTCGAATGTTTATTAAATTTGAATATTAATAGATAAAAAATGATGATAACAAAATTAATAATCGATATTATCTGTAAAAGATAGTTAATAATAAAGATCAGAATTGACGTCATTCAATAAATATGTTTATGTTCGCTTTCGATACAAGGGTGGGTGAAATAAACATTTAATTCAGTTTGAGTTTGGCAGTCAGCGTGAAAGTAATTAAATTAATAAAGAGTGAGAAGGTCAAATTAATTCAGAAGGTCAAATTAATTCAGAAGGTCAAATTAATTCAGAAGGTCAAATTAATTTATAAATATTTGAGATAGAAAAAATATAAACCAAATGGATGAAATGGAAAAATTTTACAATAATATGACAATGGGTAATAATAACTTCTACGAAATGATCTAAGTATCCCGAGTCAAAATTTAAGTCGTAGATTCAACGTATTGAACGTTTAAACCGTAAATTCGACGTATTGAACGTTGAAAACGTAAGTTCAACGTATTGGACGTTGAAATCGTAATTTGAACGTATTGAACGTAAAAAATATAGATTCAACTGTTTTAAGAAGAATATATGATTCGTAAAAAATAACCTATAGGCTAAATTTATTTAAAAGCTTTTCCCAAAGATTTGATTGAGTTAATTTTTAGCTACTTGCATATTTAATCAACTAATAAAATTACGGTTGATTGGAATTAAGGAAGTTATTCAATTAAGATTGATTTTTGAGAGCCAAATTCTCATTCAATCTCGATATTTTGAGATCTTTGAAAACTATTAGATTGATTTTCATTTGCATTTCAAAAATATTTTGAAGATTTGAGGAGCTCATTGACCGACTTATAGTTAGATTTTCAAGCATAAAGCTTCAATATACCTAAAATTTCATTAATAATTAAAATTTTCACTTCAGTGGAATGAATTTGTAAAATATACTTGCATGCATGGTGCACCAGCAAAATTTAAAATCAATTTACGCTCACAATACGTTAAATACGTTCAACTAACGTTTTTAACGTTCAATACGTTCAAGTTACAATTTCAACGTCCAATACGTTGAACTTACGTTTTCAACGTTCAATACGTCGAATGTACGATTTGAACGTTCAATACGTTGAATCTACGACTTAAATTTCAACTCGGGTAATGAAAAAATAAGACAACAGTCACACAGAGTTAAATTTAAACTGGATTAAATGTTTATTTTGCCCTACCTTTTTATTTTGACTTTTTATAAGCTTGACAAATTCTACCTCCAAGCTAAGAAAAATAATCTTATTTACCTTCACCCTATTTTAAAGTATTACTAATCAATGAGTATTATGGCTATGATATCTTTTTAGGTGAATTGGTCAGTAATATGCACTACTTATTGATTCAAGTAATATGAATAGAGCAATTATTGACATCGCTTAACAATAGATGAAGTAATTGTAATTAATTATCATGTAATCTATTTTCTATGAGACAATTGGTACCAGGAAAATTCAGTGAGTAATTCTATTCATACTGCTTCAATCGATAAATGTTTCATACCGATCATTTTTTATTTGTAAAATGAAAAATTACCATTTTAATTTGTCACAAAAAATTATTTTTGAAGAATTCATTATTTTTATTATAAGTACATAAGTATAATTTTTTGGATAAATTAGATTTGATTAAAAATTTTTTTTTTCAATTAGAGACACTCCCAACTATGCTTCGTAAAATTTGCAGGTAATAAATAATCTATGTCTTTTTATTCATGAATCATAAATAAAAAAATGTTTTTTACTAATTTTAAATGTATAATTTATCACAATCTGTAAAACAATTTGTCCAAGATTTAAAAAATTAAAACTATAAGTTTAATTCTACAGGCCGTTTCCACCGCTGGATTATGCGTAGAACTTTGGTATGAACCGTTGATAAAAAGTAAGAGACGCTGAACCGTCAGTTTTCCTCGGATCGCTGAAGTAATGACACCTTTGTCACTAATAATAATAATAATAATAATAATAATAATAATAATAATAATAATAATAAAAAATAAATAAATCACTGCTTATTAAAAATAATTGCAATTTGATTCTTTTTCTGATTTATTTTTTTTTCGCCAAGAACAAACTTACCAAATTATTAAAATAAACCTAAAGTATTTTTTAGTAACGAATGAAATTAAAAAACTCGCTTAATAAATATGAAGTGCATCATAATTATCAAGTTTTATAATTTAAAAGTCAATAAAATAAAAAATACAATTGTGAATTTTATGTAATAAAAGTTTTAGTGAAAAAATAAAACAAGAAGAGTAAATTTTTGACGGGATGATTAGTAATTTTTTAAAAGGGATGATAATTGTAAATAAATTGGAAATGTCAAAAATAAAAGAGGAATGTCGGTTTTAAATTTCAAAACAATTATCGGTGCGTCGTGTTTAACGTGACATTTTTATTCTTATTCATCATTTAGTTAGCTTAGATAAATTAAAATATTTGTTTACTAACCATTACATTCTACTCATTCACTCACTATCGCCGATGTTTAATATCAAAGGTAAAACCATTGACTCATTGTTATCATGAATGTATAAAAGCTTTTATAATAAAATTCATTTCAAAGCCAATTAATAAGTATGAGAGGAACAATTTTAGCGTCGACTTTTACAGAGTAAATTGAATTTAGTTATCTCGGAACAAAGTAAAAATATAAAAAAAGACCTTAAAGATGACGCGAATTATTGAAAAATCTTCCAGCGAAATAATATTTCGATCTCCACTATTTAAATACTCATTCGCATGTCATTTGACAGTTTATAAAGTAGACCATTAGCTGGATTTGTATTCACTGTAATAATGGTATTTAATATTTACTCTTTGATGTTTGGATTGGTGCTATCAGATTTTATTACACAAACAAGGGCGTTAGATTATGTTGACATAGAAGACCGAGAGTACAGTAACATTACTGAAGAATCTTATTTATGGAGTGTTAATGCCACGGATAATTGCACGAACCCTTTCTGTGTGAGCGATCAGGACTATCTCGATTACCTGACGGATCTTATGACGACACCGAGTATCTATGACTGTATTCTAATATTCATGCACGTTACTGTCTTTGTTGGCGGAATATTGGGAAATTTGCTGGTCTGTCTGGCCGTATACAGAAATCGATCTATGAGAACGGTCACCAATTACTTCCTTGTGAACCTCGCAGTGGCGGATCTTATGGTGTTGATATTCTGTCTGCCCTCAACGGTTATTTGGGATGTTTCGGAGACCTGGTTATTTGGTGAGATCGCCTGTAAAATAATTCCCTATTTGCAGGTAAATTATCTTTTATTTAAATTTATCATATACACTTAAATTTTAAATATTTATCCATGGAATTAAATTACGTTGTGGGAATCGATCGTTTTTTAAGCTGATTAATGGGTTTTAGTTTTTATTTTATAAAAATTCTTTGCTGAGCAAAAACACCTATATTTAATGGATACGTTGAGCTTTTAATGGTTTATAAATGGAATTATATTTCGATACCCAGGTTCTAATGTGTCGGATACCATTTTTAGAAAATTTTTTAGCAAGCGATAAAAGTTGGTCATTATTAATTGTAACTAATTTCCATTCTTGCTTACACAATTAACATCAATTATTATTATAATCCTGTCGAAAAATATTAATAATATCAAAATATGGTTATGCGAAAATTATATTTTTAAATAATGTAACATTGAAAGAAAAAAAAATTCTGTTAAATTTACGGAAAAGAAAATTTAAAATAATCTAACTCCGACAAAAATGAACTGTAATCAATAGTAATGAATAATAAATACAATTCTAAACGATAAAATCGTGATTTCAATTATTAATTTGTGATATTTATCATTTAAATGTTACAATTCAACAATTATAAATAGCAAAAAATACAATTTCAAATAGCAATAACAGTTATGTAAATGTCACGAAAATTAAAATGCCACCCCGGAGTGAATTACTGTCTGAAACATTGTAAATTAACAAGAATCTGAGCATAATTTGTAATTTATTTTTTTTTCTGTGTATAAATGTTAATAATATAAACTTTCTATACAATTATGTGAGAGGTTTGGTGATTTATAATTTTATACAGTTCTATAAAATTAATTTTTTTAATTTAAAGGTTACGAATTTTCTAATTAAGTTTAAATATTTCGTAATGTGACATTGACATTTTTTTTAATGTTATTTTTACAGGATTTTTTTTTTCTATGTAATTACTCTGCTACAGAAAATTTTAATTGAGTATCGCACTGAATTGATTTTACGGAAAATTCAAAATATTATCAAAGTTTTACATCACTATGAATGTAAAAGTTTTAAAGCGACCCTTTGATGATTTAAGAGTGATTGATTATGACAACTGAGGAAATTTGCGTTTGCTGAATGTATATAAAACAAGAAAATTTAAATTTTAGCCATTTGAATTTTAATCGATTTAATTTTTTGATATTTCACTCAGAAAAATCGGGGTAAAATGACCAAAACAAAATAAAATACCGTTTTTTTTTAATTAAAAAAATTTTTCATTTTTTATTTTTCTTATTAGTACCAATTATTAAATGGATAACTAAAAAAATATCAATTATTAAATGATAAATTTTTTATTTAAAAATAATTACCTTACACGCCGCTAGATGGCAATATAGAAAAAAAATTGGTCTGTTATGAAATGTTATACTGAGTTGATGACTACCTATTTGTTGTGCAGTTTATTTAAAAAGGGTGCTCGCTACTTTAATAGCGCGTTGGTTCGTTACGCGAACTGGCGGGGTATGGCTATCAAGACATACCCAGTACGTAATTTTTGTAATCGTGAGGCTGTTAGCTGCCAGATGCACTGACGCCTCCACAGTCTAATTAAAATATAGCTTCATATTTTCATATACGAAATAAATATTAAGACCGTTTATTTTATTTAGGTAACATAGAACAATAGTTGTATTAATAAATGCACAATTCGTTATTAATTTTATATAATTAATACTAACTATCAAAGCACTCAATTAAAAATATTTATTATTACGTAAGATAATCATTATTTAGATACTTTTTTTACCAGCTAAGCTATATTATACCATAGTGGATATTATTACTCAGCGTAATAAAGACTGCTATCCAAGCGTGATAGAATCTCGGATTGAATTAACTTGATAAAAAAAAAATTCATGGAATAATTTCTACAAGCTCGCGATAAACGTCAGTTATAAAAACAATTTAGGATTAAGTAATTGTTATTTTTATTTATTATGTTACTAAATATTTTTTATAATAATTTTATTCAATTATTTATAGTTTATGATATCTCATAAGAAATTTTATTTTTAAAAATGAATAGCATTTGTAATTTCGTGCTTGTCAGAAAGATTTTACTTTAATATTTACCTTCGTGTCTAAAAGTAAAGAGTATTTTTTTTTTCCAATCTACTAGAATTATTTTTTTTTCGATCTCACTGTAAATCTTCTCTATTGGTGTAGACTTGTTTTTATTATTATTACAAGTAAATTTTATTCTGCGTTCCGGGAAAAGTTTATCGTAAAATTATACATTTTTTTTTTCTCCATTGTCAACTTAAATATTTTTCTGAAACACATATAAAAGACTCAAAAGAATTATTTTGACGAAAAACATTTATTAATCAATATAAACTTTAATATATTTAAATAGTTTTTTATAATTTAATTAACTTTATATTCCATCGATTACTTCCTCTATAAATTCTGAAGGTAGTTAACTAAATTATCGATGTCTTGATGCTTGCAAAGTGCAAATAATCTGTACTATATATATATCATAATATAATAATTGGAGGAGAATCAAGTACTAAAGTGTTATAACTTACGGACTTGATAGTGTAATTACGTAGCTCGCAAGTTGGATGTATATACCTCACATGTAGGATTACAGTAACACCTTGCCTCGAATAATAGAATAGTATTCGAACTAGCAACTCGGTAGCTAGTAATAATAATAATAATAATAATAATAATAATAATAATAATAATAATAATAATAATAATAAAATAACAACAATAATTACAATCAATTGTATCTACTTAAGCATCTGTATTGCGGTTAGAGAAAGGATCTGAATAATTTGTGTGAATAAAAATTTATAACCTTTATAAAGAATGGTTTAAGACTACTGATGCAATGGATTAACTGAGTTTAAGTGGTCCTCTAATAGGAGGGTCGTATAAAGGGGTATTTCGACTTTGCTTGATGCTTAGTAGTTACTAATCTTTTGATAAATAAATCATACCTTTATCTATGCAATTGGATTAATTTAAATAATTTCATACTAGTTACCTATTGTTTTTAGCTGAGAAAAAAAATTTTTTTTTTGATAAACGTCATTAGATCGTGATGATTTATTTTCTGTAGTACCAATAAGAAAAAAAAAGCCATTCAGCATTCGAAATGAAAATAGATTTGTCGAAGGTAATTTTTTTAAATTTTCGTTCGTTTGATCGAATTGAAAAATGAAAAGTACAATATGTAGCTTATGGTATTAATAAAAATTGCGGGCGCAATCGTGATGACAAGACGGAATATATCCCGTATATATTTTTCTGAATTATTTACTTGACAACCGGAAATATAAGATGAATAAATTTCTGGTAACTTCCGCCATGAGATCAAATTCAGTAGTTAAATTTCCCAAGAGAGCTACTAAGAAATCGAATAAATAAATACAATTTATTCACAGTAAAAACATAATTGGTTAGTTTTTTTATTAATAATAGATATTATTAATATTTGGGTAATTGAGTGCAAGAACACACTTTAGCACTTGGCTGGTTGTTATCAGTAATGAAGGGTCGCGCACGAGCCAATATAATTACAAAGTTGATTGAATTATTTTTATTTACCTTTCAGAGTATGGAAATGATGGGCATGTTTGTATTCTTCAATAAATTTTTTTTTTAATAATATATACGTATCTGAATAATTATTTTTAAAAAGGTATCAAAGGTCTACAAAGGAATTCCGTTGAATTTTTCTCTGTGAATAAATTAAATAAAATATAAAATTTATCAACAAATTTGATCAAAGAGTTAACAATAATAAAAGCATTTTTTTGTCCTATATTGTTGCGATAGTAGAAGTAAAATAAATCTTTAAATACTGAGTATAGTAAGCGCCATAAAATTCAGCTGAATAACGCTAGTAAATATTTGTCTGCTTCAATTAAAATATATCGTGGTTTAAAGGTTATTTTTTTTTTTTAATTAAAAAAACTACCAATATTTTCTATCGATATGACATTTTTATTTGCATAAAAAATTTAATTAAAAAACAATTTATAAAAGAATGTCAATCTATAAAAACTTTTGTAAATTTATTCATGGTCATCAAATAACGATAACTTTATATTAGCAAATCAAATGAATACAAATTATAAATATTGTGCCCATAAATTAATTATATCAGCTAGTGCTAATAAATCTGTTAGTCGGGCTTACTACGCAGAGTATTTGTTAATGAGCATGAATTTCGCGTGTGTATTACCGGAAATAATAACAAAGAAAAAAAATTTATAAAAATAGGTCACTTTGAGCTTTGGGTGTACTGAACATTAGCTTTTATTCGTTTAGTAACATATAAGTAAATAACACTCGGAAGCGAGTATGGTATAGAACAAATAAAAAAAAAAAGATAAAAATGGGCATACAATAGCCCTAAACTTATTACAAGTGTTATTCCTACAAGTGGTACGAATCGAGCCTACAGGTGACGTGGGCGTACAAATTTATTGTATCCCGTATATATTACATTTATACACGTACGTAAACACATGTTTACACGAGTAAATTGTTTAAACAGAATCAGACGCAATAATACATAATAATAACCGAGTACCAAAAATAAACATTGCATTAGTCCACATCAATGAATAATTTTGGATTGATCCCCTACGGAGTAAAATTAGATCGTAATATGCTTATTATGACGATTATCATGTTATATATTTATAATTATCAAGTGAAATTGAATCAATTTTAGCTGCATTATTATAATTGATTAATAATTATAATTATACTCTACTATTGTATGCTTAAATAATTACTTTTATTATTGTTACAGACAGTTTCAGTAAGCGTGAGTATTCTCACCCTCACTTTCATATCGATCGATCGTTGGAACGCTATTTGTTTTCCGCTGGCTTTTAAATCGACAACGAAACGCGCGAAAAAGTTTATATGCTTCATTTGGATATTCTCATTTATTTTTGGTAAATATAGTAACATTTATTCGTGTTTATTGGAGTTGGATATCTAATAGTAATAGTAATACATATGTTATAGATTCACCCGATATAATTTTACTGCAAGTTGCACCAACAGTATTTAAAATAGAAACTATTTATTTAACGCAATGTAAAAGATCGTGGAGCATTAATAGCGAAAGAATTTTCAATTTGGTTATATTTGTGTTCCTGTACTTCGGCCCACTGGTTTTTATGACCTATACATATTATCAAATAATCTGTGTTTTACGAGGAAGTCGAATTCCCGGATATAAATGTAAGTTTTATTATTTTATTTAAACAATAAATATTCTGTTGAAATTTTTCTATTTTTTCTTTATTATACTTGTCGCAATACTTAGTGATAGTATTGAAAAATAATTATTTTCTTATCTCTTGACAATAAAAAAGACTTAATGATTTTTTTTCAAATAAACTTATTTAAAAAATAATTTCTCAGTGGAAGAAGAGTTATGAATTTTTCCAGATAAAATATAGATATATTTTTGAACTAAAACAATTAAAAATTAGTATTTTTTTTTATCTATACATGACAGCATTGATGCATAGAAAAATGTGTATTACTGAATCGATATCACATTCAGTGATTGTAAACTATTACATATCTGAAATGGACAGTTCAAAAATATGAGTTAACATTAAAAGTTTAATAAAATATAAAAAAAAAAACAAATCACCGTCAAAAATCAATTTTATTGAAAAAATAACGTTTGAAATTTATGCGATAGCTTTTATTATTTTTCAACCCGTTTTATATTTATCTACCTATATATAATAAATTCTGTTTATCTTTGAATAATACAATCGAAGAAGTTTAAAAGTTGTTAAGTTACAAATTTAATCACAATGCGTAAAATTAAATTATAAAGTTTGAGTAACATTGTTAGTGAACTCAATTAGTTGAAGGAATAATTGATTGATTATCTTACTTTGATTGTAGTATCCAGAAGAAATAATGAAATTCCTTTGGACGCTGAATTGTCAGCGTCGTTTGAAGACAATCATGAAGGACGATTGGTGTCAAGACGAAAAGCTGCTAAAATGCTAGTTGTAGTCGTTCTTGTTTTTGCGATTTGTTATGCGCCTGTTCATTTGCTGAATATCCTCAGGTGATGAAAAATATTTCCGAATTTTTGAAACTTAACATTTAAACGTTTGTCACTGTAGTAGAAATTAAATATAGATTGTTATGGACGTTGTTATGGAGTTTTTCTGATGATATGTACCATCAGTGCAGATGGAAAAAAAAAAGAATAAATATTTGTTGTTTTTTCTCTTTTTTTTTTTAAAAAATGTACAACAATATACTCAAAATAATAACTTGTGATTGTTTAATTTGATGTTAATTTATGATAAAAATTTTATAATTTATCTAATTCCAACTATTGTGTAAACTTTATTTATAATTGCCGAGTGGCGTTAATGAATAAATAAATAAATAAAAATAAAATGTTGTTACTGAAATAAAATCTTACTGTAAAATTCAAAATTTATTGTTTTGAAATTTAAATTTTTCATTGGCATCAAGTAAATTAATCTCTTAACTTCCTTAATTAAAGAAAATAATTTTTTATTAACAAAACATATTTAAAAGAATAATAATTTTTAATTAAATGATAAAATGAATTATTTGTTACAGATATTCAATGAGTTTATCATCGAATAATATCACAAGAGCATTCAGCCTATTAGCTCACTGGCTGTGTTATTTGAACAGCGCAATTAATCCTGTCATTTATAATTTCATGAGTGGTAAGAAAAGTTTTTATTAATCAAATTCGATTTATATAAAGATATCAGCTTGAGAAAATATTTTTAATATTTTTAAAGGACCTGTAGTCTTTTAAATTTTAATAACTATTATACGATTAAAAATTTCTTCTCAAGTTTTAATTATTTGTCATAAAATTGATTTTAAACAGATTTTTTGAAATGAATTAGGTAAATTCCGTAAAGAATTTAGACGATCATTCATATGCTCACGACCGATTTCCGCAGAGTGTGGAACACAAAAAAGTGGGATTATGCAAATAGCTGATCGTTCGCAGATGCCAACCACAGACTCGAATCAGTCAGATAATAATTGTGTCAAAAGTCAAAGAAGCGTTGAAGTTATTCCTCTCAAGAGTATGTCCATTGACCAATAAAGTTCTACTTTAACTTAAACAAATAGAACAATACGAATTTATGTGGCATGAAATTGTTTAAAGTTTCATGGTACTTGAGATTAAGTACGTCTGTAAATTAATGTAAATAAATTTCTGTATTATTTATAAAAAAAATATATGTGTATAATGTTAATCAATAAAGTAAATATCTATCGTACTTTTTTTAATTACTTTTGCTTATATAATTATATTATTTATTTTTTACACAGAAAAACATTTATTTTACTATACATTCAAAAGTAGACATTGTTGAAATTTTTTTTGATTCACAAAATTTTTACAAAACAATAATATGAGATAAGATAATCCAAATAATATTGAGTTATATTAAATTATTAGATTAGTTTGTACTTTTTGTATTCATCAGATGCTCAGTTTTATTTTAAAAAATACCTGTACAGTAGATTTCATATAAAATAACGAACATTTAAATATTTGTAAATTTTTTTACTATAATTGGTAATAAAAATAAAAACCATTATCATCTTTCCTCAATTTCTGCCTGTCCTACTTTAGTTTTTATCATTACTAATTAAATATACATATATTTTGTAACTTCACGGTATTATGTATCTCCTAAAGTTTAAATTTTATCGACTCCTTAATTAAAAATTTTATTAATTTTGTTTTACTTTGATTATTAAAAAAACTATTAGATTTTTAAATAAAAAATTATTAAAATTTTTATGTTATTATTAATTAATAATTTTTTTATTTTAATGTTTGTAAATACTTTTATTTCTCACTTTAGCAAGCTAGCAGACCTTACTTGTACGTAACATAATATTAAAAATTAATATTAATTTGTTTTATATTGATTTATTTACTTTTTGAATTTCTTATTTAAATATTAAAGATTCAATAGGATAATTTTTCTATCTACTTATTATATTTACTCATGAATTTTTAATTCTTTTTTTATTTAAAAAAACTTTTCATTATTGAAAAGAATTATTATTTTTGTATTTGTTCGATATTTTAAATTTTATCATATTATTCTTATTATTATTATTATTAATTTAAGAAATCAGCCTACCCAAAAGGATCTGCAAAGTATGAATAAAGTAAAAATACAAATGCAGGTAAAACGAATAATATAAGACCTACTCTTATTAATAACCATGATATCTCGTTAGACGGTACATCGAAAGGTTGGTGGCCACCTTGGTGCAAAATGTTGTGAACTATTTAAAAAATGATAAATTCATCAGTTTAATAGGTAAAACTAAAGATTTATGTGTATATTTACCTTTGGATCGAGGAATTCCAAGTCTAGGAATCATTTCTTCATCATTCATCATATTGAATTCCCTTTTTATTAGCTCAGGATATTCAATAACTTCTATAAATCAAGTGGATTTTTATTTATTCATTGCAATTGTGGTGACACAACTAATGTAGACGATGTAAAATAATATCACTATTTATTTATATCTATTTATTAAACAATGAGTAATTTTACCAACAAAACAGTTCCCTGTTTAAAAATATTGATTGAAAAGAATTAAAAATGATTGAATTCGAATTCTTTTCAATTTTTTTGTTTATATAATATATTATATGAATACATTATTTCTAATCTTTAAGACCTTTTGATCAAAAAAATTTTTAATTTTTATTCCAAGTAGAACATTTTTTCATTGAAAGAAAAAGTGCCACTAATGGGGATTAAAGGGTCTTTTACCTTATATAGATATACAGTTTGCATGGAGTGACCGCTTTTCAAGTCTTTTCAATCAGTATTCTCAATCGGGGTTTTGTGACCAATAAATAAATAATGAGACTATCACAAAATACAAACAAAAAAAAAACTTTAAAAAGTCATTTTTAATCAATCTGCTCATCAATTATTTGGAAAAAAAAAATTTAATGACGGTGACGCCATAGAAATAAAAAATACCGGCATTTCTGTAGTGTTCTCGAAAAATTATCAAATGAGAATTATTGTTATTCTTAAGGGTGTGCGAATCAAATGATTCGTAAATTTAAATATTCGCACAATCCTACTGAAAAGCATTTTAGATGATGGTAGTAAAAATTATTCGATAATTTTCATAGTTTTTACGATTTGAACGGCAGAAAATCATAAAAAGAGTCTCTGTAACTCCAAAAGTAATCGACTTTCAGTTAATTTATAATTTAATCAGCTTCCCAACAAGTTTTTGACAAAATATCAACGAAAAATTGTATTTTACTATAACTAAAAACAAAATTAAATATCTTCGAGGTAGAATTAGGGGTAGACTTCTGTTACTGCAGTCTACGGCTTCAACATACTTAAATAATTAAACTATACTTAGTATATTAGGAATTTGGGATCAATAATCTTGTGGATGCAACAAAAATACTATGGTTATTGATCACAAATTCTAAATGTTACAAAATTACCAATTTCCGTTTCAATTTTATAGGACGTGTGGTTGAATAATTATAAATACTCAAATTGTAAACAGCAAATTAATTAGATCTAAAAATTAACTTTCAAATAATTTATTTTTAAGGTGTACTTACTTTTGCTTCTTTTTTTTTCGATCCGCGTAAATTTGGAATTCTTGCTTGAATTTTATTTATTGTTCAATCAATTTCAAATTGAATTTACTTGATTCTGAGAAATAACTACCGAGTTTAAATTCCATACTTCAGATAAATAATTTTTATTTCTAATAACCAGAATCACGAAACTCTTCTGGACTATATTTTTGTGCTATACTTTTTGATGATGATCAGCAACGTGCATCTGAAAAAATGAGCGACAGTAGTCTCTTCTGATGTTTTCCAAATTCTCAATTGTGATTGGCCGATGTATCAAAAGTAGAGATAACTTTTAATCAATTCTAGATTGTAACCACGTATCATTAAATTTACTGTATATACTGTGTTATGTCCAAATGCGTTAGAAATATTAAAAATAATATTAAAAAATATTGACAAAATTTAAAATAACTGTTACTTATTTTATAAAGGGATTGCAAGACTCTTATGACAACTTATGGTGGCACAGACTCTTTTCTTTCGAGTTCAAAATTTCTTGGGCTGCATTGCAAAAGATTTCACGATTGTAAATAAAAATTATTAGATATACCTGATTTTATTTTGCCTTTTAAAATTATTACAGACTGTACATTGGTAATTTTCATAACTTTAAAGATATTTTTCATTATTTATTATTAATTTTTTATATACATTAAATTTAATTAAAAATAAACAATTACTTACCGCATGTCAATTAAGATAAATAATTTTAAAATTTAAAAGAAAACTAATAAAACAATCTTCGTTTAATAATTGATTCAATAGTCAACTATATTTTATAATAGTTCAATTATCATTACATGGAGAATAGTAATTTGAGTAATAGTTCAATATATTATAAAATACTTACAATTAAATTGCAATTGTTAATTTTAATTTTACATAAGAATATCGGGCATTTTCATGCGTTATTTTTTTTTTACTCTTAATTTGTTTATCATGATTATTGTTTTTTTACTGTTTTTATTAAAAAACAAAATTTTCTCTCTAATAGAATTATATATTAAATAATGTAAAAGCTATCATACAAATAAAAATGGATAATATACTAAATATATATATATATATATCTTAAAAATTATTAATTTTCATTAGTTAATTTATTTATCTTAACGAATTAAGTAGCTATTAGGTTACATATATCTCTTGTATAATGAAAGCAACAACATTTAGTTTGTGTAAAAGTTACTGAATACAGATTTTGTTTTTTTTGAATGTGTTTCAAAAAGAAATTTTAATAATCTTAATATTTTCAACTCTCAATCGTTAAATTAATATCGTATTTACAGAATAGTCTTAAATATTCAAATTGAATGAGTTAGATTTTTATTTAAAAAATTTAATCTGCAACACTAAATGTATTTAATTGCTTGCAGAAATCTATATATACATTGAGCTTTATTCGTCAATGTAATGATGCTAATTAATAGATTTTACGTTAATTTAATTAAGCAACTGTTCATGGCATTTTTTTTTATGTTTTTTACTCATACAATTAACCAGCATTTATCTCGGTAATAATTTTATTGCATATTATAGGCAAAGTTATAAGAAAATTTTAACGTTTATCATAAATTTACAATATTTGAATAATTCAACGCTACAACTAAATATTCCTAACTAATTGGTTAAATACCAACCAAAATTTATTTGTGATTCAACTGTAGTGAGGAAAAATTTTTTCAAGTAAAGTTTCAATTATAAATAGCAGAAATAATTACAATTGTAGATAACAATTTGTACAAATTAGAAATACATAATATAATTCAAATATATAATTGTAAATTATTTTTTACATTTAGCGATATATAGCAAAAATTACTCAAAAATTGTTACTCTCTAAATATACATATACTAAGCAGCTGCTTCTTCGACAACAGGAGTCGATACCACATTCTCAACTTTATTATTAATATCTGTTTGATTAATCGTTACTGAGTCTACTTCAATGGTTTTACTCAATGAATTATTAGAATTATTATCAATTACAACTACCGTTTCATCAATATTATTTTCACAATCATTTTTTGTAATTGAAACTACATCATTATCATTTTCATTAGTTTTATCCATTAAATCATTTTTAATATCATTATTTAAATTATTTATATCGATATTTTCTTTTGTTGGCTCATTAGAAATTATTTCTTCAATATTATCTGTTTTAATATCACTTTTTTCTTCTTCCAAATTTTCATTTATATTCTCGATAAAATTTTCTGTGATGTTTTCATTTAATGTTTCTATCAATACATTTTCAACTGATTCATCATTATCCTCTCTAATATTTTCAACAATTGACTTATTATCTAGAGAAATGCTCTCATCAAAAATATTTGTTTCTTCATTAGGCATTTGTGGTATCATAGATTCAGAAATTTGTTCTACGTGTTCAACGGGTAAATTGTTATAAATATCATTAGAGGAATTATTGATTGACTCAACGGATACACACTGTTGTGTATCAATTTGCTGAAATTGTTGATGTTGTTGTTGCTGCTGCTCACCAGGTGACAATTGACCACCAGGTCCACTACAAGATGAGGCTTGTGAAACATTACGACCTCTACCACGGCTACTCTGCTGACGTTGTACTGAATTGTTATCTGGAGGAGGTAAAATTGGAATCGCTTTTGGTCGTCGAAGCGGAGCTATCTGCGGTACTTGTTGCGGCTGTTGGGCTGGACTATAATAAGTGCAACCTTGTGGTTGATATAACTCTGGCGGTGGTTGTGGAACCGGTGGCTACAATAACTCATCAAATTAATTTCAATACAACAGTTTTTAAATTTATAGTTATAAAAATTAAAACCTTAAAATATTTAGATTTATTACCTGAACCGATGGAGTATATCCTTGATATCCTTGAAAATTAGGCGGGAATGCCGGTCCATTAGGAGCTTGTACGTAATTAATGATGTTGGGTGCTGCCGTTTGAGGTGCAATAAATTGCGGAGTAGGCACCAAAAATGGGGGTGGTGCAAAAGAACCTGGTTGCCCTGCTGAAGGTAGTGGCATCACTGACTGAGGTGCCAATGTATTTGCAGTCTGCGGTACTTGAGGGCTTTGATCAAAATGATTTTGTGGATATCCTGGAATAATTAGATAACTTGTTAAAAAATAAAGTATAAAAATTATCTTTCGAAGCGTTAATTTTATCACACGAATTAAATGTAAAAGATTATCACAATAACAAACAAGCGGGAGCCATAACTTATATTTATTTAGGTTTTTTAATAAAAATTTTTTACCTAAAAAAATAAAATAATAATTAAACATGTAAAAATTATATAAATTTATAACAACACACAGTATCTAATACAATTAACCAAAACTTGCGAGAAATTGTAAACTTATAATACATTTAATTACAATATCACTTCAGTAATGCAATTGCAAGAACTAATGTACAAATTTAAATATATCAATAAATATCTTTAAAATTGAAAAAAACAAGCGGGATCACACAAAATTATATATTTTAATATTATCGTAATTTTACCTTGTGACTCTATAACACCGTGTGAATTTCCACCTAATATAAATATTTATAATAATTTTATTAATAAACATTGATAAACTAGCGGAACCAGAACTTTTTGTGTGAAAATTATTTCCATTAATTAAACTTAATAATTTACCTTGAGGAGAATAAAATCCGTGCTGTCCAAGCTGGTTATGCTGTCCATGTGGTCCATGTTGGCTATGTTGTCCATGTTGATTATGCTGAGTCGGATAATTTTGCTGTCCAGGGCCATCTGATATTGCTGGTCGTTGACGGAGACTCGAATAACGTTTTGGTCTATTTCCACCCATTTCAGACGGAGATCGAGAATGTGCTTGCGGCTGCTGTTGTTGTTGTTGTTGTTGTTGTTGTTGTTGTTGTTGCTGCTGCTGGTGTTGCTGTGTAGGTGGTTGCATGCGAGGAGAACCAACACTGGGTCGTTGCTGGTTCGATCCTTGTCCGTAAAAAGTTTCTAAACAAATAGCATAATTAATTTATAATCTACAGTTACTAATAACTGATAATTGAGATTAAAAAATAAATAACATACTTTGTTGACGTCCATGATGATACGTCGATCCATCGTTAACGTTGATATGTTTGACCTCGTTGACAAACTGATCATCGTCCCGACTCATAATATTCCTTCTATCTCCACCAGTTATCAGTCCACTACCACGACCTTTGGGCTTAGTATCAGGAGCTCTATTAGTAATGAGATTATTATTAGCTGTTGGTTTGAATCCACGTCCTCGTACTCTACTTGCTGCAAGACTAACGCTCTCTTGAACTTGTCGTTTGTTTACATAAGCTGGTTTTACATTAGCTGTTGTTGTTTTTTCAATATCATCACCAGCGTTTATATTAGCAATCAAACTTTGATGGCTGTACTTAGCGTCTTTCTTCCAAGCAGGATTAGTTGGCTCATTGGGAGCTTTATTCTCGTTTCTAGATTATTAATTATATTAGTATTTATATTATCAAAAAAAAATAAATTACAAAGATATTTATTACATATTTTCTTACGTATGGATATCATTAGTCGCCAATAATCTAGTTCTCTGGTTATCAAGTTGAGATTGAAGTGGTGGGAAGGCGTTTTGCTGTTTGCTGTATTTATTTTTATTACTGTACCATGCCGATGATATAACCGGTTCTTCTACTGCATCTTGTTTATCATCCTAACAAACGATAATTTATAAAATTTTATTTTATTTATTTCAAATAAATGTAATTTGCAAGCAGAACAGTTATTTATAATTATTTACCTTGACTGAACCTCCAAGAGCAGGAAATTCTTCACCGGTTTTATTCAATCGTCGGTTCTGTTTAGTTGATGTATTTATTGGTGTCTTTCCATAAGCATCTTCATCCTCCCAATTTCTTGTATATTTATTTGGTCCACGACTATTAAAAAAAAAAAAATGTTAATTGAAAGAAATTTTTATAATCATTTACAAGTGGGGGCAAACCTATTTTTGGCCATATCTAGGTGAAAAAATATTTTTTTATTTTTTTTATTCTAGTTTTTACGGCGGATTTATGGTGGTGATATCGAAAATATCAAAAAATTAATATTTCGATAGCTTTTTTGCCTTCAAAAGTTGGAAAAAAATTTGGCGCTCATATTTTTAGATAAAATTTCTATTTGATATATTTTTTTTTTGAAAAGTACATAAAAAAACGAACAATTAAAAAAAAAAAAGTTGAATATCACAATTTTCTAAAAAAAATTTATAAATTTGTTAAAATTGTAGTAATTAACTTTTTTTTTTAATTGTTCATTTTTTTAATGTATTTTAAAAAAAAAAAAAATATATCAAAATTTTCTAATAAAAATTTCGTTCAAAAAAATGAAAATTAAAATGGTAGACCCCATTTGTAAACAACTACCGAAATTTTTTTTTTTATTCTATAAAATTTCGTATCTAAAAAAAATTTTAGAAAACTCACCCATATCTACGTCGTCTGCGTGCTCTAGGAGGACCCTCTTCGTTCCTAATATCATATCCATAGACAGCAATAAGTTCATCATGACTTTTTGGAGCCTGCTCCTGGTCATTGTACCTATCATGATCCCACCGGTCTTCTTTATCCTTCCAGACCTTTTTATCCTTGGATTCCCTTTCAACAGGTTGCTCTACAGTATCTTCAGCAGCCTCCTCAGTAGTACGATCATCATGCTCATAAAAGGTACCACGTTTTGGTATGTACTGCGGATTACGTCTATCCTCATCATCGTCCAACTTTTTTTGTGGTTTGTCTTCTTCTTGGCCATCTCCTCTTTCACGCTGGACACCATCTTGCGATCCACCATCAGACTCACCATCACTTCCAGCAGTATCATACTCGGAATCATGATGAACAGTAATGTCTGACTGGTCATTGCTCTAAATAATTTTATAAATATTTATTTAATTTATTATTCAGATAATTAATTTAGCATATTTTATTTTATAATAAAATCTGCTCTAGTATCATGCAAATAGGAAAAGAAATAAAATAAATAAAAAAAACTTTAATACTCTAACGGTAATATAAAATAAAAAATAACAAAGTAACTAGCTCAATAAAAGTAATAAAGTTGGTAGTAACCTATTAACTGATAAGCAGAGAAAGCTAACTAAACTTTCAAATTAAAATATTTTTAAAAATAAGTACAATCAACTCTTGACCTATTTTTTTATATTTTAACAATAATATAAATATTTTAAATTAAAATACCGGCAACAAAAAATTTAAAAAGCCAGCGAGAAAAATTTTTTTAATTATTGTTAACAATAATTAAATACTAACATTGTTACTACAATATCTATAATAGCAATTAGAAATCATTTTTTTTAAGTAAAAATTAAATATTAAAAAAAAAAATAATTACCTCAGTGTCTTTTGTAATAGCTAGTTCATCGAATGATTCTGATAAATCATCGGACGCATGGGAACGTTCTGATTTATGGCGACGTCGACGAGTATCCGACATGTTTGTATCAGATTTAATCATTTTTTCAAGTAACACTTGTTTCTTTCAAACTAATGAATAAATTTTTATTAACCTTAACACCTGTAATAATACAATAATGATATAGTTTAATCGTATCACTTGAATTATTATATAAATAAATTAGATAATTGTTATTTATAATTATAATTACAATTCTGAACTTAGAGAACACGATGTGAACAGTGGCGATGCTGCTGCTCTACTGACCTTCACGTCTGGAAATCACAATTCGCAAAAATGGCGAAAATGATATACTTACATGTACAATTTGCATTATAGATTGAACAATATTTTGTTATTTAAATAATATTAACAATTATGACAAATTTTTAAAGTGGAGTGTGAAAAAAAATTATTGATTTTTTTATAAATAATTTTTATCATGCCGTAAAAATTTTAAAATGGCGGAAAATTAGTTTGACTTTTGAAACATGGAGGGCAGGGCATACTCCGGGGTTGCAATCAAGGGTTGTAACTATTTATACTATATTTTAAAATTATTACTTCATAACCAAAAATTTAACCACATTTTTTTTTACATACCAATAAAAATAAAAAATTTTAAAAGTGAAAAATATTATAACAGACAGACATTAGGAGTTTTTTTTTTGATTTTTTAGCAATGAAATTATTATGAAAAAAATTTAATTAAAAAATTCCACATGTGAAAATTAAAAAAAATTATGAGTGGAAATTTTTAGATTTTTTGTTGTTATAATTGATTTTTGTTAAAAAAATTGACAGCTGTCAGCGAATTTCTGTATCGTAAAATATTAATTATATTTACAATACAAAATATAGTTGGAAAATTTCGCTGCTATAATAATTTTTCTTCAGCAATTTGACTTATTTTAAATTCTAAAATTTTTATTACTAAATATAACATAACACGGATTAAATGAGTTAAATAGTTTTTTTTTTTAATAAATTGAATTAAATACTAAAATTTCGACTTCTATGACTGTCAACAAATTATAAAGCAACAATTCAATTCTGGATTAATCTCTTAAATAGTGTCACATGTTGACATTATAGGATTACTGTTTTTTCACTGCCTAATCTGTTAGGATACTGAAAAGTTTTAAAATTACGTATAGTGCAGAAGTAAATTAAACTTTAAATGAAATTACGTTATTCACACTTGTAACGTGTACGTAATAGAATTTGTATTTACATCGTTATAAAAGTTTAAATTGTGTAGAGTTGTTATTCAGTGGAATTGGGAGAGAGATTTTCATGAAATATACAAAGAGGACTTCATTGCGAGATACATAAAAATTTCTGTTTTATAGAAAAAGTCATCAACATGTCATTGGAATATTTCTTTAAAATTTGATACAGAATAAAAATAAAATACTAAACATACACTTTTTTTTTTAATTATAAAGAATCAAAAATATAAATGTATAGTAAAAAAAAAGACTAAATTTATTGATAACCTAATGCCACTGAAATTGACAGACATTTGATAATTTTTATGATTTTTTTTTAAATAAATAATGACAAAAAAATTTATTATAAAAATTTCACAAATAAAATTTGTAAAAAATTATACCTAAATACAGTTTTTTCAAATAATTTCCTTGAGCTAATTTTTTTTCTTAAATAAAATTTAAAAAATAGTCAAGTGTCTCAACAATTATTATTTAAAAAAACAATATCTTAATATTCATAGAAATTAAAATATTATTAAAATCTTATTTTCAGGAATTATATATTTTTATTATAAAAAACAATTTTTTTTTTTTCAATTAATTATAATTGAACAATTTACAAAGATCTTATATCTCGTCTTTAATTTTTTTATTATTCAATTACAAAAATCGCTTAAAAAAATAATAATGTAAATATCATTTTTTAATGGTTGAGTACCATACCACTTTTCAACAATATTATTTTCCAACTATACGAACTATACGAAACAGCTTAACAAATCGATACCAACTGAAAAATTTCTAGTTTAGAAGCCAACTTCAGCCTTTTCGTTTAATTAAATCATTCGTGTAATGTGTAATGCGATTGCAAGCCTGCTCCGTACTTCACGTCGTATATTGTTAACTGTGTTTATACACAACTGGAACAGTTCGTCTTAAAAATTGTTGTCAATAATAATTGATAATATTTATAATTAATAATGTCTACGGCTGCAAGACCAACTTTTGATGGTGCACGAGGAGGACAGGGACGTGGTGAAAAAGATTTAAGTGCTATTTCAAAGCAATACAGTAGTCGTGACTTGCCATCACATACTAAATTGAAATACAGGTTAATTTTATAATTAATTATATATTACAAATAATATGTTTTTTTTTTTTAATAATTTTAATTACTTATTTTAGTTATATTTTTTTATTAACTATTTGTGCATTGTTTTATGATATGCTGACATTGACAGACATCTGACAATTTTTAAGATATACATAAAAAAAAAAATTTATTAATAAAAAAAATTTCCACATGTAGGAATAAAAAAATTACATTAAAGCTAACAGTCTCTTGATCATTTTTTAATTTTATTTTATATAACAAATTTGCTCCAAAAAATTATTTAAAAAATATTGAATTTTCAATTTGTTCAAATTTCTGTCAATTTTTTTGCCATAATTTATTTGTTACAAAAATTATTAAATATTTGCTAAATTAATTTTTCTTGCTCTCCTAGCCGAAAGTACGCTCATCCTGGACGCACTTTACTCCAGGAAGAGCAACATTTATGGCCGGCTCAGTCGGCTCTCTACGCATGCGCGCTACCCATATTTTCTGGCCGGCAGCACAGAGCCTCGCTTTCTTTCGTACTTTCGTGGTGCGACCGGCCTATAGGGATTGAAAAAGATGACCTTGACGCCACCTGCCGAAAAAAATGTAAAACAAAGTGGTGGCAACTAGTATACAAAACAATAACATATTTGTTAAATTAATTATTTTTTTAATTAAATTAACATAATTTTTCATAATGTCTTCTTCAAAACTATTATCAAGTTTTTCTATTCCACTGAAAATTAAAAAAAAATTCAATTCTAGACTTCGAAACTTGTTACGATACTGAATCAAAAGACATCTTACAACTTTTCAAATTTTTATAACAATTCAATTATTATTAAAAAATTTATAGTAAAAGAATTCCACATGTAGAAATTTAAAAAACTTATTTGTACAAATTTTCAAAAGAATTTTTTTTATGATAATTGATTTGCCATAAAAATTTAAAAAATTATCAAATGTCAGCTGATCTCAGTATCATTTTTTTAATCAAAATTAAATTAGCCTACATCTGAAAATTTTTATAATTTTCTTTATTAAAAAAATCATTACAAAAAAATCAAAATAAAAAATTTCACATGTCGAAGATTTAAAAAATTATACGTGCAAATTTTTAAAAGTATTTTTTTACTTGCAATTTAATCGTTGAAACAAATGCAAGAATTGGTGAACATCGGCTAATTTTAGTGTAATATATTTTTACAAAGTTTATATTTAATTATAAATTTCGTCAATTAACGAATATTAAAAATAATTTCAAAAAAACTTCATCAACTAACATCAATTTTTATACTGTAAATATCGGAAACTTTGGTTTGAGTGAAAACTGAGCAGGTTATGGTTTAATGTTTATTTAAATCTTCTGTTTCTACACCATTCGAAACGTGTCCCTGACTCGAATAACTTTTTTTCTTTTATGTCATTTTGACCCCTAATATGGGTATTTTTGACGGACAAGAACCCGAATTTAATTATTTTTTTCATTATTTATTTCAACTAATAAAAACTGAAAAAACTAAAGATTGCGTTGCGCGTGACAAAGAAAGTATGCTAAGGACTTACGATATACTGACGATTTACATACGTTTCAGTAGTTTTATAATGGGTTCAGTCAATGATAATAACTGTAGAGGGCGCTGAAAGCAGCGAAGAAGAAGAAGGGGAAATTTAACGTAGTTCCAGCGTGGTGTATAGTATAGTCAGAGCATTTACTATAGACAAAAATTATGATACTAAAGTTAGCCGACGTTCAAAAATTTTTCTATTTTTTTTAACAATTAAATTGCAAGTAAAAACATACTTTAAAAAAATTGCACCTATCCTTTTTCCAATTTTCTACATGTGAAATTTTTTATTTTAATTTTATAGTAATAATTTTTTCATTAAAAATAATTATAAAAATTTTCAGATGTCGGCTAATTTAATTTTCACTAGAATTTAATTCACGCGAGCGCGCGCCTCATATTTATTGTCATGATATATTTATGTGTCGTTTATGTATATTATATTAACTTTCAACCAATCAGAATGAGAATAAATATTTTCAACCAATCACATCACGAATAGATTGGTTTCACATACATTTCATCTCAATTTAATTATGGGAACTAGAATTCAAATTTGCGCGCGCAAGCGCGCGCCTTGACTATAGAGTTTGCATATATTTTCATGCATAT